CGAAGATGCCATAAGCAACACTCCGTTGCTGCTGCCTGTGCAGTATCGAAATTTAGAGTCGATGCACTGTCCGACAGTTGGCCAGTTGGCCCCGGAGGCTGCCGGACGGATCCTCCCCACCCAGTTCAAGGCCACCGAGTATGCCATTTGGTTGGCAGGACAAGGACTCAGTTAACCACCTTGTAATTTTGTTTGTTATATCTTGTTTGTTAACCCTTCATTATATCCATTTGCCACGTGCCTTACTGTAATTATTTTGTGCGTTTCTTTTTCTTTTTGCTCGCTCAGGAGAGCTCGGAATTTAGGTTGGAGGAATGTTAGGGGGAAATGTAGATTTCATTGGGTTTTCAATTTATTTCATGGCACGTGGACTACAAAATTATAAAATAGGATTTCAACTGTTTTGAATAAGCTTTTATTTAAGTCTGTGCAAACAGGAATCTTTATTCTCTGTGCAAACATTGTAACCGAGATTGTTTACTGATGCATGTAATCACTGGAACAGCGGGCCTTAAGAAATTTCTGTACGCATCAGTATATGTACCTCCGAAATTGAATTTTCTAGAAATAGATATACAGCTTAGTCACTGAATAACTAGACCTTTCGTCTGTTCAAATACCAACCGTTCGTAGTTTTTAGTTTTGACATTTTGAGGGATCCTGAGCAAAGGAAACTCGAATTATTTTACACAGCTTTCTTTGTAAACTTCCTAAATTCAGTTGCTTGACTGACATTTAATTTTGAGCTATTTAGTTTAACATATGAACTTTTAAACTGAATTTATCCAGATTTGTTTTCGCTGTTCAGCTGATTTTATTCAACCTTCTTTCCTTTTGTTTTGTTTTTTTTTTAATTAGTTGATCGGTTAGTATAAATAGAGCACTGATTATTTCTGTTTTTCCATTTTACATTGCAGATTTGAGTGATTGTACAAGTTACGTTAACGAGCTGAAGATTAAACCGTTGAAGTCCAAGTTTGAGTCGTATCCTGTTTCTAGTTGTAGCAGATCCGGTACCTTGGAATAGTGACGAGTTTCTTTCCCGCTAGCCAAGTGAGTTGCGAGTTAGTTTTCCCCCTTGTTGTTCTGACGCCGAAGTCACTCGAGTTCTCTTTACCCTTAATTCCCCGATTGGTGCTTGGAAGGGCAAAACTTATCGTCACACTTTTCTATGAGATAATAAATTGTCCAGTAACAGACAATTCGTGAATGACGCGCTCGGAATGGGAGCGCTATTTTATGTGTTTGAAACAATAGAAAAAAAATGGCAGCTAAAAATAAACCACGATATCATACCTAATAATAACTTTTCTATTTACAGATTATGATCTCAACTTTTTTTGATGACGTCAACCTCCTTCCTTACTTTTCTGGAATTAATCCTTCGTTTTTAATGCCTTCAACAACGACCCACAAGCATAACAGTAAACGCCCATATCATCACGCAAGAGATAGGCGAAGAATGGAGGAATACCACCATCTTTGTGTGGTATGCTACGCTCTTGAGCACCCTCCAAATCATTCCACTCGTTTACTTTGCTGTGACCAATTCATCCATGAGTGTTGTCTCATCAATAGCCACCATGGAATCCAAACACCCTTCCTTGTTTTTACCTTTTACACGAACGTTTTAATTACATTCACATGAGGGGTCAATATCTCTAAGGCCTTTAAGATATATAGTTTTATCTTACGAGAAATAAAGGCATTTATTATTATTATTATTATTATTATTGGTATTATTGTTATTATTTTTGACTGATGCGACTTATTTTCCCGGCATGACGTCTAAAGAAAAACTCAACAATAAATCAACCTCGGAAGTTCCTCGCCCCATGCGGCCAGTTCTGCAAATGGCAGGAAGATGAAGCAAACACAGATGATGAACTTGACATTTTTCCTGAGCTTCGAGCCAAAATTCGTAACGTTCCATCTGATGCGAAGCTATCAAATAAGACTTTGAGGTAGGCCATACGTTATATCAAATATCTCATTCAACTCCTCGAAGAAGGTAACGATCAGTCAGTTGTATCAGTGAGTGAGAAAAGAGAGACGCAGAGAAAACGAGGACCAAACACTGGCTGGCCACAGTACGTCTGGGCTATGGAGCTTCGCAAGTGATTTGCCAAGCAAATGAATCATCATTTAAGTTCACTAAGTTTGATCTACAATCGATTTTGTCCACACATTGTCAATTAACGATAGAAAACCAGCGCCAGTGGAGCCCTCTAAAGCCAGTTGTATCACTGAGTGAGGAAAGAAAGACGAAGAGAAAACGAGGAACAACCAAGCGGGTATATTTCGCGCTAGAACGAGAACCTTTGAAGTCTGAAAACTGCAAAGAGCTTTCTGCAGATACTGTACGTTCTTTTGTAAGTTGTAAATAATTTCTGTCGAACATGGACGGACAAATGCAGAATACGTAAGTTGGAAAAAAAGAAGATAATATTTTAATTTCAACGCGCATGTAGCAGAACGTTGATTGTATTAAAGCGCTTACTATGTTCGCCTTAGATGTCTGATCGCTCATTTTCTTCCAACAAGGCTTTGAGTAAGAGCAACCTTTCAGATAGAAAATAGCGTGTGGCAGGAAATTTTTGTGGGCGTTTTTTTAGCGGACTTGCGATTTTTTTGTATTTTGCGGGAACAAATTTTTGCGATTAGGACAGATTGGTTTTCTTGCTTGGAATTGGTTTTTTCCATTTTCAGATAGTACCCAATACCCAACATTGATTATATTTTCGTTTTTGTTAAGTTTGAGCAACAGAAATACATTAACTATTTCAAACATCACTACGGTATGCGTACCCTATGTAAAACCAGTAACTCACTGTATACGGTTTTTTTTTCTGAATGAAGGTTACCATCTGAATTAAAAGGTAAATTCAATTCCTTATAGAGACTAACAATGGTCATCAAAGGTCACGCCAGCGTCATATTGCCTTACGGTCACCTTTTGAACTAATTCGGCATGGGGTCCTCTAAAACAAAAGCCATCTGAGACCAAGAAGAACTTTAAGCGTGAAATTTAGCTATTAAGCAGCGTTTTAGATAAATATTTACTGAAAACAATTTTTCTGCAAGGATTATAACGATTGGCTATACAGACAACAACCTGTGTATTTTATTCAAGCCAAGACAGGCGTCGCATCGATACGTGCACCCACTCTTTAAAAAAACACACCGGCTGTGTGTGTTCTAAAAGCCCGAAAGAACTCTTTTCTTGTCCATTTGAAAGCTTAATTTAATGAATCGAACTTATGATTATTGTTACCATTGATATGATTAATTATTACAAGCTTTTTTCTTAGAACCGAACATAATAGTAACCTAATGAGCTCTATTACTTAAGAAGATGGTTAGCGAAACCATTATCCACTTTCCTGGGTACAACCTTTTTTTCCACGAATTCCACGAAATGGCAGTCGCGTATGAAAACGAAGACTTCGTGCTCAGTGCTGAGCACGCCGAACACATCAACGAGCGCCACGTGGAAAGGGAAAAAGCACCGCGAGCGAACAAGTTTTACAGGAAGTTTAACTTGACCGCGACACTTGGTTTGCTAACCTGCAAAACATGGGAGGAGAGAGACGACTTCGTCATCATCGAGTCGGTTTCAAGACGGGTCACGGCGAGTATTTCATGTACTTATTTGAGATGGGGAAGAATATTGGTACCGATCCGTGGGCATATGCGAGTAGAAAGATTTGTATCTACTACTCGTATAATCCAAAAATCGCTAACAAGTTCCGAATTATCTCCGCGTATCCCTTTTCGTGGAGGTATCACAACTTTCTGAAACAGCGAAAGCTTGGGCTCCCAACATATTAAACCCTACAGGGTGCTGTAGGTAAATCACTTTACTTATGTTCCTTGGCTTAGTACAACTGCCTCTAATCTTAATATTTCCAAGTGTGAGTTTGAGTCCTATCCTGTTTCCAGTTGTAGCAGATCCGGTACCTTGGAATAGTGACGAGTTCCTTTCCCGCTAGCCAAGCGAGTTGCGAGTTAGTTTTCCCCCTTGTTGTTCTGACGCCGAAGTCACTCGAGTTCTCTTTACGTTTAATTCCCCGATTGGTGCTTGGAAGGGCAAAACTTATCGTCACACTTTTCTATGAGATAATAAATTGTCAAGTAACAGACAATTCGTGAATGACGCGCTCGGAATGGGAGCGCTTTTTTATGTGTTTGAAACAATAGAAAAAAAATGGCAGGTAAAAATAAACCACGATATGATACCTAATAATAACTTTTCTTTTTACAGATTATGATCTCAACTTTTTTTGATGACGTCAACCTCCTTCCTTACTTTTTTGGAATCAATCATTCGTTTTCAATGTCTTCAACAACGACCCACAAGAAGAACAGTAAACGCCTATATCATCGCGCAAGAGATAGGCGAAGAATGGAGGAATACCACCATCTTTGTGTGGTATGCTACGCTCTTGAGCACCCTCCAAATCATTCCACTCGTTTACTTTGCTGTGACCAATTCATCCATGAGTGTTGTCTCATCAATAGCCACCATGGAATCCAAACACCCTTCCTTGGTTTTTACCTTTTACACGAACGTTTTAATTACATTCACATGAGGGGTCAATATCTCTAAGGCCTTTAAGATATATAGTTTTTATTATTTACTATTATTATTATTGTTATTATTTTCGACTGATTCGACTTATTTTCCCGGCACGACGTTTAAAACTCAACAATAAATCAACCTCAGAAGTTCCTCGCGCCATGCGGCCAGTTCTGCAAATGGCAAGAAGATGAAGCAGACACAGGTAATGAATTTGACGTTTTTCCTGAGCTTCGAGCCAAAATTCCTAACGTTCCATCTGATACGAAGCTATCAAATAAGGTACGCCATACGTTATATCAAATATCTCATTCAACTCCTCGAAGAAGGTAACAATCAGTCAGTTGTATCAGTGAGTGAGGAAAGAGAGACGCAGAGAAAACGAGGACCAAACACTGGCTGGCCACAGTATGTCTGGGCTATGGAGCTTCGCAAGTGATTTGCCAGGCAAATGTATTATCATTTTAGTTCACTACGTTTGATCTACAATCAGTTTTGTCCACGCATTGTCAATTAACGAAGGAAAACCAGCGCCAGTGGAGCCCCCTCAAGCCAGTTGTATCACTGAGTGAGGAAAGAAAGACGAAGAGAAAACGAGGAACAACCAAGCGGGTATATTTCGCGCTAGAACGAGAACCTTTCAAGCTGAAAATTGCAAAGAGCTTTCCACAGATACTGTACTTTCTTTTGTAAATAATGTCTGTCGAACATGGACGGACAAATGCAGAGTACGTAAGTTGGAAAAAAAGAAGGTAATATTTTAATTTCAACGGGCATGTAGCAGAACGTTGATTTTATTAAAGCGCGTACTATGTTTGCCTTAGATGTCTGATTGCTCATTTTCTTCCAACAAGGCTTTGAGTAAGAGCAACCTTTCAGATAGAAAATAGCGTGTGGCACGAAATTTTTGTGGGCATTTTTTTGTATTTTGCGGGAACAAATTTTTGCGATTAGGACAGATTGGTTTTCTTGCTTGTCATTGATTTTTTCCATTTTCAGATAGTACCCAATACCCAACATTGATTATATTTTCGTTTTTGTTAAGTTTGAGCAACAGAAATACATTAACTATTTCAAACATCACTACGGTCTGCGTACCCTATGTAAAACCAGTAACTCACTGTATACGTTCTTTTTTTCTGAATGAAGGTTACCATCTGAATTACAAGGTAAATTCAATTCCTTATAGACTAACAATGGTCATCAAAGGTCACGCCAGCGTCATATTGCCTTATGGTCACCTTTTGAACTAACTCGGCATGGGGTCCTCTAAAACAAAAGCCATCTGAGACCAAGAAGAACTTTAAGCGTGAAATTTAGCTATTAAGCAGCGTTTTAGATAAATATTTACTGAAAACAATTTTTCTGCAAGGATTATAACGATTGGCTATACAGACAACAACCTGTGTATTTTATTCAAGCCAAGACAGGCGTCGCATCGATACGTGCACCCACTCTTTAAAAAAACACACCGCCTGTGTGTGTTCTAAAAGCCCGAAAGAACTCTTTTCTTGTCCATTTGAAAGCTTAATTTAATGAATCGAACTTGTGATTATTGTTACCATTGATATGATTAATTATTACAAGCTTTTTTCTTAGAACCGAACATAATAGTAACCTAATGATCTCCTGGGTACAACCTTTTTTCCATGAATTCCACGAAATGGCAGTCGCGTATGAAAACAAAGGCTTCGTGCTCAGTGCTGAGCACGCCGAACACATCAACGAGCGCCACGTGGATAGGGAAAAAGCACCGCGAGCGAACAAGTTCTACGGGAAGTTTAACTTGACCGCGACACTTGGTTTGCTAACCCGCAAAACATGGGAGGAGAGAGACGACTTCGTCATCATCGAGTCGGTTTCAAGACGGGTCACGGCGAGTATTTTATGTACTTATTTGAGATGGGGAAGAATATTGGTACCAATCCGTGGGCATATGCGAGTAGAAAGATTTGTATCTACTACTCGTATAATCCAAAAATCGCTAACAAGTTCCGAATTATCTCCGCGTATCCCTTTTCGTGGAGGTATCACAACTTTCTGAAACAGCGAAAGCTTGGGCTCCCAACATATTAAACCCTACAGGGTGCTGTAGGTAAATCACTTTACTTATAACTTTACTTATATTCCTTGGCTTAGTACAACTGCCTCTAATCTTAATATTTCCGCCCCTAATTTTCCGGTTCCCACTGACTTTACGTTAGACAACACTACTCTCGTTTCCTTAGATCACACCTACAATCTTCGCGGTCAGTCGCTCACCCAGCGTCTCACAAAACTCAGAAAAGACATTTCTAACTTACAAATAGCCTCCACCACCACCGTGAACGATATTTTCACTTAATGTAACATTTGTTTTAACAATGTCGTCTTCAGCAACCATTACAGTTACCTACCATTTCCCTCTCTACACGTGATACTACAACAGACGACTAAGTTCTTTATCTTTCTTTCTTTCTTTTTTTATCATTCCGATGCACAGCTTTAGCCCCAGTGTTTACACCTATCTTATTTTGCGATACTCTTTCTTTTTACCGTCTTCTTTGGTTTTCTTTTTCCCTTTATTTCCTTTGTCTTTCCTCGTTTGACTATACATGTCATCCACTATATATTCCACCGTTATTCGCTGTTCTTTCACCCTTTTCTGCGGAGTTCATTTAGCCTTTTCACTGTTTTGTGTCTATTTCCACCAAAACGTTATTTATCATGCCTCGTTCGGTGGCCAAAACACCACTGACAATCCGTCTTACAAGTGGCCGAGGACGCACTGCGTCAATTAAGACCACCAAAAGGAGCATCCAGGAGCTGTCGACCGTCAGAGCCTTCGTACAAGCTCGGATAAGGTCGCCTTTGACTAAGTGTGAGAATAGGTGCTGTGCACGTCGGTTCCATCCCCGCACACACCTCTGCTATGCTACCGAGAGTTTTCACTCGCCCGAGTGCCAGGAAATTATGGTCGCCTTACAGGACAACACACTGTTGGACTGCCGAACGACATATCCCTTTTTGCTAGTCGTCGACGTAGCACTTTACCTCCTGCTGGAGAAAGACTATTTTTAACGGCAGATTGCCACATATGCTCTCCTGGCATTACAGGAATCGTACTTTTCAACGGACTTTTTGTTAGTAATTTATGACCTTCTCACCAACAACCACGAGGACATTATTTGTATCTCCAATACTGTTCCTGTGCGCCCAAGATTGTGACCTTGGCGCACAATCTTTTATCCTTGTCTGTTTAACGGAACTGGGTTCTTCTGGGGAGAACCATGACATTCTATGCAATTTTATGCCTTTCAATTATTATTTATTGATTTGTTTTCTTTTCCTAGCATTTTCCTCGAATTACTTACTCCTTGTTCTTAGTTTATTTACTTAATTCGACTTTCGCTTTTTTAACTTACATTTCCTTTTTGCTTTTCATTGAACCCCCGAGGCCAGTATATTTAGGCTAGTTCGGTTTATGCCGCGAGTCAGGCACAAAAGCAAATACAAAATTTCCAAAAACCCAGAAAATCAAATATAAAATTTCAACATAAAGGTAAGTTTTAGAAAGTTTTATTCGCTGTGACTTTTTCTTAGTTTTTCTCGTATATTTTTTATCGTTTTCCTTTTAATTTTCTCTAATCAGCTGAGGACAGGTGAGACTTAAGGTGGGAGGAATGTGAAGTGTGAAGAGATAATTTATTGTTATTCAGTTATTTTGCTTTCGCTGATAAAAATGTGAAAAGCCAATGTAGAAACCATTTATTCTTTAGTCTTAACTTCTTTAAGCCGTAAACAACCTGTTGATTTATTGAGCATAAACTTAGTTGTCAAGTCGTAATTGTATTTAGTCTTCAAACTGTAATCAACCTGTAAGAAGCCGTTATCCACCTATGTAGCTTTTGAAAGTAATTAATGTTTCAAAGCAAGCTTAAGTTTCCACCAATAGTCTTGGAGAAATGATTGTTATCCGCTATATTTTCCACCGTTATTCGCTGCTCTTTCACCCTTCTCTAAGGAGTTCATTCACGCTTTGCGCTGTTTTCAGTCTATTCTACATCCAAACGTTTTTATCATGCCTCGTTCGTTCGCAAGGACACAACTCAAAATCAGCGTTACAAGTGGCCGAGGACGCCCAGCAGAAGTTAAGATCACTACACTGAGTAGGAAGTTAAGACCACTACAGGAGCTGTCCGCCATCAGCGCTTTTACCCAAGCACGGGTACGGTCTCCCCTGACCAAGTGCAAAAATAGGGGCTGTGCACGTCGCTCACATCCTCGCACGTACCTCTGCTACGACAGCAAAATCTTCACTCGCCCGAGTGCCAAGGAATTATGGTTGCTTACGACCTATCCCTTCTTACTGGTGGTCGACGTGGCTCTCTACCTTCTCCTCGGAAAGGACTACTTCCAACGACAGATCGCAATATATGCCCTCCTGACTTTGCTAGAGTCATACTTTTCCACGGACTTTCTTTTAGTCATCTACCACCTTTTAACCAACAACCACGAGGACTTTACTCGTTATTTATACTTACAATATTGTTCCCGTGCGCTTAAGATTGTGACCACGGCGCACAATCTGTATCCGTCTCTCTTCCACGGAACTGGGTTCTCCTGGGGAGAACCGTGACATTTTATGGAATTTTATAGGTTGTAATTATTTTTTTTTCTTAATTTTCTGTTCGTGACATTTTCCTCGACCTATTTAATCTATGTTCTTAGTTTATTTACGTAATTCGACTTTCAGTTTATTAATTTACATGTCTTTCTTGCTTTTCATTGAACCCCCGAGGCCAGTATATTTAGGCAAGTTCGGTTTATGTCGCGGTTCAGGCACAAAAACAAATACAAAATTTCAAAAAAAAAAACAGCCAGAAAATCAAATATAAAATTTCAACATAAACGTAAGTTTTAGAAAGTTTAATTCGCTGTGACTTTTTCTTAATTTTTCTCGTATATTTTTGATCGTTTTCCTTTTAATTTTCTCTAATCAGCTGAGGACGGATGTTTTGTAAGATTTTCTTTGGTTATGTTTTGACTGTACCCGCAGTATAGTCTTGGATTAAACTTCTACGTTGGAGCCAAGTTCTGTAGTAATCATTGTCTCAAGGGTATTCAGCAGACGTAAGAGATTCCGTACCTTCCCGCAGCCAGCGAGTGTCCCCATGAAAAGCGCCTTTCCCAGAGTTCTAGAGTTTTTCCCCGTCCGTCGATTTACCCTTTTATGAAGGCAAAACCTGTTTTCACAGTTACTGCCGTTGCTGCCGCATCTACCACCGTACCACTGTCTGTCTACCCTCTTCTTGGTTTAATAAGGACTCGCTTAACACTTTTATCGACTTTGCAGACTCACACTAAAGTAACGACAGGAACATATTGATAGAGCATGACCCTCTCGAGGTACCTGCTCTAGCCAACCACTTTTCTTTTTGTATGACGATCAGTTAAAATGCAATACTGCGCTCACACCATTTCTTCACCCACGATTTGCGCATGATCATCCTAATACCGCAGTACCATCTCATGAACTCTGCGAACAATTTCCTTACCTATCTCCGTACCAACCACAAAGCCTGCTTCACCTTGTCTCTCAACCGCCTTATACCTATTAACTCTCATCACAATTTCGAAGCCTTTGTTTCATGGGAAACACAAAACGTCTCCTGTAATGTGAAACTCTTGCCCATTACGGCTGATGACCAATATGTCAAGGAACGACTCGAAAAACCGATTTGAACCATGAAAACATGATCGCAAGCTGAATCAGCGCAATATACCCACATTATCCACTCAAAGTAATCACTATATAAGCAAACCAAACTGTAAATCATTCCAAACCCAGCAGTCAGCAGATTTTATCAACTGAAACCACACCTTTAAAAAAGCCATACCATCCCTTTTTGCAATTTTTGCATTTTGTTTCAGACTGGCCCTTTATGGACCTTTATGCATTGAGTGGTCAACAAAACTATTCTCACAGACTAACACCTTTTGGCCACTTTTTCAACCAGTTCCTCTAATTTTGGATTGTTTTTCCCTTTTTACCATTTTGATTTACGATACAATTCTTTTCTTTGTCTATTGCTCTGCTTTTCTTTGTTCATTTACTTTAACTTCTAAATGACACTAAGTGGTATTAGACATAAAAGTGTTTTGTTGAAAAAATAAATATAGTTATTTAAGTTTTCATTTGGTTTTTCTGTAGCTGGACATTGATTTCTTACAGACCTCTGAAATCAATTTGTAAGTTTTGTAACCTTGTGATATAATTTTGCATTAAGGACATGTCCTTAAAGTTAAAGCCACCAATAAATTGATTCAAATAAGTTTAACTAAATATACCGTCCTTAAAGTTAAATACATTAATAAATTGAATCAAATGAATTTAACTAAATATACTGTCACTAGTAGCGGAACAAATTAATAATTATAGAGGTTTTAGCGTTCTTGACCAATAGCGATAAAAACAACTTATAAATAAGTTTTGTAAACGCCGATTATATAAACTCCACGAGACCACGGTATTTCACAATATTATCTTCAATTCAGACCTCCACACTGTTAACAGTTTCCAGGTTGCGTTTCGAGCGATAAAAATGCTTCAAGACTTTACCACTTTTAGCCTTGAGCGCTATTTAAGAACCTTAGGAACCTGGCCATGATCGTCGGCTTTTAAAAGATCAGAACGACATGTAAAAGCCCCAACAAAGAAAAGTTTTACGATCGATGATATTTTGAAGAGGCGTGGGAGGAACCGACAAAAAATGCAAGGAAACTAGTGAACTCTGGAAGTAAATTGAAGTCTTGTCGGGTTTACTGTTTGGCAACAAATTTGTTTAACTGTCAACGTCTCTCTTCTTGTTCAACTCACAAACCGACGTCATTTAATAAAATTTGCTGTAGGGTTGCTGACCCACTAAGCAAAGAAGAGGCTTCAGCTAGTCCCCGTCAGAAAAGTTCTTCAAAAAAGTGGTGGAGAATCCGCCTTCTTCGCGTACCATTTTATGTCTGGGCGTGGCCGTGGCCGTGGTCGTGGTACACTGCAACAGCCAAAGGGACCTCTTCGTCGACCTACCGGCCTGCCCTTGGTCCTGATTATCCACAGGCTTAAGGAGCATCTATACGAAGCAGGAGTGCCGCGGGTACCACAAGTGAGCCCACCCTTTTAACTCCAAGAGGAGAAGAAACACAGTGTTCGAGCCGCACCTTGTTAGGGCGTTGACCCGCAGAAGATATTGTACTTTGTAAATCCCTTTTGAGACCACTCAAGTAGAAGCAGGCGCTTGTGCGTCGACGACACACACAAAAAAAGGAAAGGACGGCCCAAAAAGAGAATACGTAATGACCCAAGCCAGGAAATTGTAAGCGAACATTATGATTCAATTATTCCAGTACCTCTGATGCATCATTAGTTTTGCGTATTACTAGCTTTTGTTTAACACAAAACCGAAAAAAAAAATATCGCTTCTTATTCTAGTAAAGCCTCAGCGAAGTACGATAGAAATGGTTTACGTGCATGCCTAAAACTGCCCCTTCAAGTCAGACCCACACTGACATTTGTACTTGTCCTCACGGTGAATCAGTTCCATCTACCGCTACAATCATGAACGACGATCAAATTTGTTGAAATGCCGACCGACGTCTTCTAGTTCAACTCACAAACCAATGTCGTTCAATAAAATTTGCTGTCAGGTTGCCAACCCAATTAGCAAATAGGAAAAAAGACTAGTGATACAGAAGGAGAGTGAAACAAACCACGAAATGACAACCAAAGCAACCTGGCCTGGTTAGTAAAAGTTTTCACAAAGATGTCGTGTTTGTAAAAGATGGTACGACTAAAATAGTTTAAACTTCTGCTGAAGCAAGGACAACACCAAAGGAGACAGGAGATGCCATAGACTTAATGAAATATCAAATACTGTTCATAGCGATTTAAAATATTTTAAGAACCATGTCTTAGGCAGCCGAGTTGGAAAAAGGGTGAGAGAGTAAATGTTTGTAAAGTGCACACTTTTTCATTTTGGTGTTCGATAATTTGCTGAACTTTTAATCCCCAACAAGTAGTAAAATTTAACAAGTACTATACACCATATTGACGGTTCAAAGTTCAATAAATTTTCACAGGCAATTTCCTAGCCTAAAGAACCTAGTACCTCCCTTTTTATTTCTTCCAAGAAGTAATTTACTAAGCACACGATGCAGCCAAATCAATATGCGTCCACGACAACTCCCTTAACTTGACAAACAACCAAAGTCTCAAAGCCACCAGTAATGAGTAAACCATTGTAATCAAGTCAAACCGTCTACATCATTTTACCCTAAACGACTGATTCAAGACAGGTGGCCACAAAGAACTTTCTATTATTAAAGCCTATTACACCATAGCGACAACTCCATCATCCTGACAAACAATATACCGAGGACACATTTATTTCTGTCTCAAAGCCATTTGTAACGGGTATAGCTGGAATAAATTCCAGTTCCTATCAGTTCTTGTTTGGAGACTGAACAAAAGAGGAAATGATCAGAGGAATTGCCTTGACACAGAACCAAGCAGCACACCAACACATCAAGCAAAGGTCCAAAACCCAAAAAACAACATTGCAATATGGTAATATGAACATTTTCTTACCAAATGATCGTTAATATTAAACGTTTATGGAACTTTTACCTAAATACTGTCAGTTATATAATTGGCTAAAAGTTAGTCTAATTGTACACCTAGCCAAGCTCCTAGTTGTCATGTGAAAACATGGTCGCAAACTCGGCTGAATTAAGCAAAATGTACCCACATAATCCGCTCATATAATAAGCAAACCAAACTGAAACTCATTTCAAACCCAACAGTCTGCAGTTTTTATCAACTTAAACCAGACCTACATCCCTTTTTGCAATTTTTGCATTCTTTTGCACACTGGCACTGTATAGCTTGAGTGGTCAAAATTATTCTCACAGACTAAAACCTTTTGGTCACTTTTTTACCGTTTCCTCTAATTTTGGATTGTTTTTCCCTTTTTTCCCTTTTAATTTACAATACATGTTTTTTGTTTATTGCTGTGTTTTTCTTTGTTTATTCACTTTAACTTCTAAATGACACTAAGTAGTCATTAGACGTAAAAGTGTTTTGTTGATAGACTACATATAGTTATTTAAGTTTTCATTTGTTTTTTTTGTAGATGGACTTTAATTTCTAACAGACCTCTGAAATAAATTTGAAAGTTTTGTAACCTTGTGATATAATTTTGCATTAAGGACATGTCCTTAAAGTTAAAGCCATCAATAAATTGATTCAAATAAGTTTAACTAAATATACTGTCACTGGTAGCAGAACAAATTAATAATTACAGAGGCTTTTTACAGGAAATGTCTGAGAATTTTGTCGGTGCATAGCAAACTGTCCGTATTAGAGAGGTGTCCGTATGCAGAAGTTCGACTGTACCACAAAACGAGAAATCTGATTACTGTTATCCAAACTTCTTTCAGTAAATCAGTAACTCGGATACATTACGCTAATAGCGTTTTTGACCTATGGCGATAAAAAACAACTTAAAAGTTTTGTAAACACAAATTCGGATACTATAAAACTCGATCAGACCACGGTACTTGACACAATTATCTTGCATTCACACTTCTTTGTTAGCGAAAAGGTTATACAGAAAACATTAAAAGGCCTTGCTGAGTTTAACACACTGTTAACAGTTTTCAGGTTGCGTTTGGGTGTTAAAAATGGTTCAATACCACTTCTAGCCTTGAGAGTTGTTTGAGAACCTTAGGAACCTGGCGAAGATCATCGGTAATTAACAGAACAGAAGGGCATGTGAAAGCCCCGACAACGAAAACTTTTATGATCGATGATATTTTGAATAGGGAGGAACCGACAAAAAAAGCAAGGAAACTAGTGAACTCTGTAAGTAAATTGAAGTCTTGTCGAGTTATAATTTTTCAGACACTAAATTAATTTCGGTCGTTTTAAGTAGAAATTGTCTGTGTTGCGTGGTTAATCTTTAGAAGTGAATGATGTAGTCGGCTTTTGCGTTTTATGGCCGGCTTCATTTGTTGATTCTTCATATAAAATGGAGTTAGACGATAATTGTCGTTTTAGTTTTGAAAGTTAAGCATTTACTTTTTGGCAACAAATTTGTTGAAATGCCGACCGACGTCTTTTTGTTCAACTCACAAACCGATGTCATTCAATAAAATTTGCTGTCAGTTTGCCGACCCAATTAGCAAATAGGAAAAACGACTAGTGATACAGAAGGAGAGTGAAACAAACCACAAATGACAAACAAAGTAATCTGGCCTGGTTAGTAAAACTTTTCACAAAGATGTCGTGTTTGTAAAAGATGAACTAAATCAGTTTAAACTTCTGCTGAGCAAGACAACACCAAAAGACCCAGGAAGACATAGGAGATGCCATATAGTTAATGAAATTTCAAGTACTGTTGATAGCGATTTAAAACATTTAAAGAACCATGTCTTAGACAGTTGAGATGGAAAAAGGGTGAGAGGGTAAATTTTTATAAAGTGCACACTTTTTCATTTTGGTGTTCGATAATTTGCTGAACTTTGAAACCCCAACAAGTATTAAAATTTAACAAGTATACACCATATTTACGGTTCAAAGTTTGGTGGATTTTCACAGGGAATTTAATCCAAGCCTGAAGAAGCTAGTACTTCACTTTTTATTTCTTCCAATACGTAATTTCCCTCACAACAACTGCTTGACAAACAATTGTCACAATTATTTCTTCCAAACTGTCAAAGCCACTAGTAATGAGTAAACCCATTTGATCATCATTCCAATTTTTTTGTATCCATTGTAATCAAGTCAAACCATCTACATCATATTAACCTAAACGACCGATTCAAGACATGCGCCCACAAAGAACTCTCTAGTATAAGCCTATTACACTATAGCGACAACTCCACCACCTCCGAAAAACAATATACCGAGTACACTTTTATTTCTACCCAAGTCTCAAAGCCATTTGTCACGGGTATAGCTGGAATTTATTCCAACTCCTATCAGTTCTTGTTTGGAGACTGGGTACATTCCCCTGAACAAAAGAGAAAATGAGCAGAGGAATTGCCTTGACCAAGAACCAAGCAGCACACAAACACATCAAGCAAAGGTCCAAAACCCAAGAAACAACATTGCAATATGGTAATATGAACATTTTCGTACCAAATGATCTTTAATATTGAACGTATAAGGAATTTTTACCTAAATACTGTCAGTCATATAATTGGCTAAAAGTTAGTCTAATTGTACACCTAGCTAAGCGCCTAGTTGTCATGTGAAAACATGGTCGCAAACTGAATAAGCAAAATATACCCACGTTATCCGCTCATATAATAAGCAAACCAAACTGAAACTCATTTCAAACCCAACAGTGAGCAGTTTTTATCAACTTAATCCAGACCTACACCTTTTCAAATCCCATGCAATGCTATCCTTTTTTGCAATTTTTGAATTTTGTTGCACACTGGCACTGTATGGCTTGAGTGGTCATCAAAATTATTCTCACAGACTAAAACCTTTTGGTCACTTTTTTACCGCTTCCTCTAATTTTGGATTGTTTTTCCCTTTTATCCCTTTTAATTTGCAATTATACATTTTTTTTTGTTTATTGCTGTGTTTTTCTTTGCTCATTCACTTTAAGCTCTAAATGACACTAAGTAGTATTAGACGTAAAAGTGTTTTGCTTTGTTTTGTGTTTTGTTGATAGTCTACATTTAGTTATTTAAGTTTTCATTTGGTTTTTCTGTAGATGGACATTAATTTCTTACAGACCTCTGAAATCAATTTGTAAGTTTAACCTTGTGATATAATTTTGCATTAAAGACATGTGATTAAAGCTGAATACATAAATAAATTGATTTAAATAAATTTAACTACATATACTGTCACCACGGTAGCGGAACAAATTAATAAAACAAATTTAAACATGTTCCGAGTTAGATTGTTTGCAAGAAATGATGTATGCATCATGGTGTATTGCTGATCAAAAAATAGATATATATATATACCAGAAATTATTACAGAAGTGTCTAGTGTTTTCACTTCTTATTTTACTTGCACGGATGAAATGCCAAATCTTACATTTTCAATGTATTAACTATATTTGTAGATTAATATTTTTAAAAATTACCTGGCTTTCCAGACAGAAAAATAATAGCGGCAAACAAATTAATTAATGATTGAGGAGCTGTCTGGATAGTATATTTTTTAAATATTTGGGATGAAACTACCGTTAACAGAAAATTTACCACAAACTTTGAAGTTTCAATTGCTCCCAGAAAGATAAATAATTGAAAATGTACTAGATTTAGAGAACCATGATGTTGTGTATTACATGAAGTTGTAAGCGAGATACATTTCGTGTAGTCTTACATCACGAGTAGTCAATGAAGGAGCACATGGTCGACTCTTTCATGCTAATTTCAGTTGCAGTTTCAAGACCAGTAATCCTCTAATTCATGTATTAAGAGTATACTACACTGATATTTTTAACCAGTTGTAGTGTTGAACTTAACTGCAAGATTACCAGCATGATCACTACTTAATTGGAATATCCACAAGGAACCCGAACGCTGTAGTTATAGCTAATAGAACAATAAATGCATTTAAGGTGTACAAGCTAATAAAATAGGATGTATCTACCTGTGTTCCTGTTTTTTTTTTCCTGTGCCGGTATCAAGTACATGTTTGTCTGATCGGATTTAAATCCCCTCCAAAGCGACTCATATTAAGACACAGGAACAAAGTCAAATACATCTTATTATTTTATGAGCTAATACAGCGTAAATACATTTAATTATTGTATTAGATAATAGAGCGTTCGAGTTCCCGAGGGAATATCCCTTTTTGGGTGTGTTATGCTTTATGTTCTAACAAGAGAATACAACTCACAGTGTTTTATGATCCCATCTTTCAAGCTGATCTTCTGACCAAATTCCCAACAGTACTAGCCTAGCATCTGTAAAAGGAGAACGTCAAAGGTTTAAGGATTACATTGTACATGTAAAGGGCCATACCCGTACCACGGGCATCCAACGGCGATTTCCTCCTAAACACTTTTTAGGCTATCCAGAGTACTTTTAGATCTCTAGAAATGCATTCTAATTAGCGCTAAAAAATTCATATCTCTTCGGTCATCCTAGGGCAACTTGAGTCATTTCGAAATAGCAAGGGCTTCAGTATTATTTTCCCGAAAATTTTAAGCTCCAAAGTAAAGTTTTACGAAAGTGAGAATATTTCTGATTCCTCTCTGCATCGCAATTTCGATTCCGCAAATTTTAGGTTTCCTTTCTCACGAAAAATAGCTTAACCCGGGGAGTGAAATGGGAAAAATTAAACTAAAGAAAATGTAAGGAATTTATTAGAGAAGTTTCAAAAATTGTACATGAATGGAGCGGTCATCTAGAAATTTTTAGCCTTCCTCGTGCTTTAGAAAATTATAGGCACTTTTTGCTTCTCCGAACAGATATTTCCGTCACAGAAAACAGTCGTTTGGTGCCCCTGCCGTAGATCTATTGCGACAAAATGGCAACTTAGCCAACACATCATTTTCTCAATGTTTCTAAGAAAGATCAGCGAACAAAAGGTTCCCCCCAAAATGTAGAGTATAGGGAGATAAAAGAGTAGATCAAAAGGGGTGAAAACATTTCAGGAAGCTTTGCTGTATCACAGACATTTTAATCACGCTCGCGCTAAAAAGTTCTTAAATAGATATGTAACTCAACGAAGTCGACGAAGTCAAACACACTTATTAATTTAAGCGTTCCCTTCAAAAAAAAAAAATAGGCTAACATACCTCAAAATGGAAAACCTCTGGATGGACAGGGTGAAGAACTAAGGAACACAATTTCTCTACCGCATATTGTTAAACCAACAAGTATGCCCAGCTGGTCCTACCGCGTGCTGGATGGTGCTTGGTTCGGCTCTTGTTATCCCGAAGATCTTGAAGCCTTATCTAAACAAAAAAATTAACGGTGTTAACAGTGGCGGTGATTAAAATCATTTCTTCAGTATGTGCCTCTATTGTTCCCTACTACTGTGTTAAAAGGTTTTATTGTATCTTAGAAGCGCCGCCGGCTAACTCAGTTTTCAGTAGGATGACCAATTCTAAAACATTAAATTACTCGTACCTATACAAGTTTGGAACCCTTTTCCAGTATTAAAAGAATCATAGAGAAAACGACTCGAAGCAATCGGATGAAATTCAGGCTAACTACAGTGAAGTTACATTCATTCATGTTGGTGAAAAATTTAAATCATAATCGGCTATCAATCAGTGTTGGAATAACCACATCAAAACTCAGGGAGCTTTCCATTTGTCAGAATTGGCTGGCCTGAAAGAAATAGGCTTTTTCCAGAAGGTTTAGATGAAAAACCATCTCCTTCGTGCATAAAATTTAGGATTTGACTGATCTTGCTGGAACGGGAACCGTCTGACCGGTCGGTTCTGAAAGCGCCCCAAGACAGAAAAAATGAGCACTCTACCACTCAATTCACCGAGTAAATTATGAGAATAAATGCTGACCTACCAAAACTGAATCACCCGGCTACCACAAGCGAGTACTTTTCTGTTTGAGAAAGGCGTCGTTAAAGCAAATACAATGGGTCGGTTATCATGTTGTACGAAGGCTAACTTAGACCACGGTTTGGCAAATCTTTTGACCTTCAGACCTTTTTTGTAGTTTGTTATTTAAGAGGATAAATGCTTTTCTACTCTACGCTATATGCATTCATGACATTTTGACGATAAATGGTGTTTGCATAAGAGCGTTCGGCAACTGGAAAATGACAGAGAACGTGGTTGAACACTTGCTAAAGTGTATCTAGGAAACCGCCAATCAGATTGATCGGTCGGAAGTTGAAAGTGATTTTATCCAATCAAATTACAGCATCAGGTCTTTTGACAGAAAAAATTCCGCAAATATAAGGCGGGGTTTTCAGCGCGGGAACAGATCAACAAAAACGAAAACAAAAGGTTCAAAAGAGGTATAATTTTCATGTGTATATTACAAGTCTTGAGTAAACTGAATTGCGCGCTTTTTTTCTGAAAAAAATCCGCTTAATTTTTTGCTGAAGTTTTCCTTTTATGTTTTCAAACAGACGAGACTCCTAACCAGGTGAATATGACGAAAATAAGGAAAAGTAGAAAGAAACCGCTTTCGCTAGTCATGGCGTCTTACAAACAATTAGCAACGAAATGAGCTAGTCAGCTTATTGTTCGCGAAAATCCTGTATTGTGCAAGATAAATGAATAAAGCGACAATCAAGCGACAAACATTGCAAGCTTTTATCAGCCCCTGGTTGTGATATTTTACCATAATTAAAGCTCCAATATGAACCGAAGTTTTGGTCAACTGACGACTTTTTCGATCTTATTGAAGGAAATCGTTGAAAACCAAATAAGAACCAACTTCATTCAGATTAGCATGGTCCTTAAATCCTTTCTACTAACAAAATGACTTATTTGCGATGAAACTAAGTCTCCTTTTATTTTCTTATTGATAGAGGAGTACGCCAAAATGGAGCAAGCCGGAGATAAAAGAAAGTCTTTACTTGTAATCTAAATGACCATACCACGATATACAACTAAAATTTCTGTGGTTTGCAAAAAACCGGCAAACAAAGCAGTGGTTCCGAAAATGCACTTGTTACTTTGAAAATACGTTTTTCCCGCCAACTCTGCATATACAGTATATTCCAAATTCCTGCCCAAACCAATATAGTGTTGTACTGCATTTTTTAGGTTTTAGAAAGTTGTCCAGGACTTAAAAGCTAGGGCTTGTCTCATCGGCGTGGGCGACATTTATCACGGCCACGGCAACCATGTTAACAAAAATTTCCTATATTTCACAAAGCTTAATTGTTATTACTATACAAAATTAAAGTGAAATCAATTCGTTGCTGCTATGACGCAAAGTCCAGCTAGAACGCATAAATGCTCGTACTCTGCTGGTAATTATAATCATTATTAAGGCAATTGAGGTAAGATCGAGTTTGAAAGCATCACAACTAAGTTCCTTTGCCGGACGGCGTTAACAACGGCGGTGGCTGAAATCATTTCTTCCCTAAGTATGTGCTTTTCTTATTCCCTTTGATGCTTTGTCCACTGTCCCAATAAAACTGCCATTATGTGTTAAATGATTTTACTGCATCTTACTAACTCGGTTTTCAGTAGGATCACCAGTATAAAACATTAGATTACTCGTACCTGTACAAGTATTCGAACCCTTTAACAATTTTCTGCTTTCCAATATTAATAGAATCAAAGAGATTCAATCATGTGCATACAAGTCTTAAACAAAAACAAATAAATTGCTCGCTTTTTTTCTGGAAAAATCCGTTTAATCCTTTTCATGTTTTCAAACTGAAGAGATTCCTAACCAGGTGAAGTAAATATGACGAAAATACGGAAAAGTAGAAAGAAACCTAGCCTGAGTTCATCCGATTGCTTCGAGTCGTTTTCTCCTCGCAATGTTTGCACAATCATGGTGTCTTACAAAAAGCTTATTGTTCGCGAAAATCCTGTATTAGTTGTGCAAGATAAATGAATGAAGCGACAATCATAAGCTAATCAGTGCAAGCTTCTATCAACCGCCGGTTCCAATGTTTTACCATAACTTAAACCTATGAACCAAATTTTTGGTCAACAGACGACTTTTTCAATCCTCTTTAAGGAAATCACTGAAACCTAAATAGAAAGCAACTTCATTCATATTAGCATGGTCCTTAAATCCTTCAATCAACTTTCTACTAACACCGAAATGACTTATTTGCGATGACACTAAGCGTCCTTTTGTCTTCTTATTGATCAAGGAGACGCCAAAATGGAGCAAGCTGGAAATTAAAGAAAGTCTTTGGTAGCAATCTAAATGACCATACCACGATATACAACTAAAATTTCAGTGGTTTACGAAAAACCGGCAAACAAAGCAGTAGTTCCGAAAATGCACTTATTACTTTGAAAATCAGTTTTTCCCGCAAACGCAGCATGTAAACCAAATTCCTGCCCGATCCAATATTGTTTTGTACTGCATTTTAAAGTTTTTAGAAAGTTGTCCAGGACTTAAAAGCCGTGCAGGGCTTGTCTAAAGTCATAGAGCTTTGTTATTAGTATTTAAAGTTACAGTGAAATCAATTCGTTTCTGCTTTGATGCAAAGACCAGCTAGCACGTGTACACGCTTGTACTGCAGGTAATTATGCAATTGTGGCAAGATCGGGTTTGAACTAAAGCACCACAACTAAGTTCCTTTGCCGGACGGCGTTAACAACGGCGGTGATTGAAATCATTTCTTCGCCTCTCTTATTTCCTTTGATGCATTGTCCACTGGCCCGATAAAACTACCATTATGTGTTAAATGATTTTACTGCATCTTAGAAGCCGAACCAATTATGCGGCTAACACGGTTTTCAGTAGGATCACCAATTCTTAACATTAGCGTACTCGTACCTATGCAATAACTTTCTGCTTTCCAATATTAAAAGAATCAAAGGAAAGGTTAAATAACTTTAACCTGACTGTATTACAGTGAAGTTATTCATTCACCATCCCATACAATTGTCATTCCGTATTTCACCTTCTAAACTACAACATTTCATATCCTACATATTTTATATCTTACCTTTTCTCCTTTCTCGTGACCTTGGTATCGCATTTTTTCGATCTCAGTTTTCAGGTCGCAAAGAGTTGGTTGCTGTTGTTGCCCGGCATATTTTACAGCTTTTTTGCCTTGTCTCATGTGAGTACTAGTCTGTTGCACAGCGACCGGCAAGCTGAGTTATTGAACTAGAGAATGAAAATGCGACCTTTGCGACCTCCAGCCGGTGAAAAATTTAAATTTTAAATTTTTCATGTTTGCCGAGAATACAATAGTTCAATCGGCTTTGACCAATCAGCGTTTGAATAACCAGGTAGTCAACTTATTAGTCGATTGCCACGTATTGACTTGCTTTCGTGCCGTATGAATTAACCAGCGATTTTAAAATTCACGAGCCACACCGGGATAATCGCGAAATGGTTTGAAAGGATGCCGGGGCTATTTTTCAGCGACGTTGTCATGGACGTCGCCGTTGTCTGATCATAAGGTCCCTATTGATATCCCCCAAATGGAGAGATTGTTCGCAGGCTATTCCGATCGTCAACTTTCTTCGTTCATTTTTCCCAACCAATTCAGTGTTTTCGGCCGTTGTCAGAGTATCAACTAAGTACCAGCCATATTGGTGACTCATAATTAATGCGCGGGATCAGTTTTGTTGAACTAAGGTCAATTGCAAATGGTTTATCGAGGACCTTTACAAGTTAAATTTATTTTATTTTAGAAGAAATAACGGGATAGTGCAAGAAAAGAGCAACTGTTTTACACATGTTGAGGAGTCCGGCAAATTTGGCTCGTGAACAAAATGCGCGGAAACGTCATAATTTGTGTGAAATAATTGGGAGTCGAAGGGGTGAACAAAATAAACATCATTGCTTTTGCATTTCAAATACTTCAAAAGTAAGCGCGATCTTATGCTGAACATGTTTCGTGGGGGAGGAAACCAAAAACAAAAAGCTTTTTTAACATTGCAACCTCTGTACTAGTCTAAAATATGCTTTTATTTTACCTTTTGAACAGTAGTTTATTATCATTATTATTATTATTATTGCTTTAAAATAATCTTCTTAGCTCTCGTCTTTGGTATGGCGAGGGTAAAACCTGGCCATTGCACCATGGCCTGTTGCATGGCCTTACTGATTATTGCGTTTTCAGATACAGAGAAGGTTCCGCTGGCAGCTAGCCTCTTTTGATCGTTAAGTACATCTATTTTGCGCTCTCAGGCTTGCTAAGTAGACTTGAAAAAAAAAATGACGAATTTGTATGTCGTTGCCAACAGTAGACGGCTCTTAGATGTCAAATTTTTATTGCACCGTCGAGATTCGAGCTCTTTTAAAATGATGGGTACAATTCATAGAAAAACGAGACGTTGGGCATATTCAAATTCAAACACACTTGCGTTAAATACTAGAAAACGCCACAAAGTTTCACAAAGACTCGAAAGGTTTCTCCTCGGCCGCTTCTTTGTAAAGAGGAGAGCACGAAACGCGCCCGAGAAAGAGACCTCTGCCGACGAGGCAGACCTTGGTTGCAGACAATCAATTACGAAAAAGTTTTTTTCTGATCGAAAGCTCAGAGTTCTTGGTAACTTCTGTTGATTGCAATCAATCGGATCCCTCTGTATTTTAATTGTTTAAGACCTCTTTGGGTCTCCATAAAATCTAACAGTACTTTACTGAGCTCTGTTTGAAAACTTCTGGCTTCAGGATGCCCGGCACAGGGTGAACGTTGAGAGACGTGGACAGGTGAAGCACCAGCCTTTTCCCTACTCCAAAAATATACTCTGGGTTCTCGTCGAAAACGCAGACATCTTCCGTAACTCAATACTTCGTCCGTAGTCATCTAAAAAATAAAGTGCAAGATCATAAGAGCTAGTAGGTTTAGAAAAGTTTCTATTTATACCGATCCAGGTCTACTAAGACCCTGTGCCTCTTAACAGTTTGTCGCTGTGGTCCTGCAGCTCTTAAATACTGATTTGGAATAGAAATGGTTTTAATTTTTATTTCAACGGACGTAGGTTATACAAACGTATTTGAAAGCTTCTGTAAGTTGAAAAAAGCAGATTAGTCAATTTTTCAGACCAAGTAAAGGGGAGTAAAAAAAGTAAAAAGAAATGACTTAGTTAAATGATTTGCTGTCGTAGATGGCCATTCGATTTTTGTGTTATTTTATTATTTTCATTATAACTTCTCTCTACTTTATTCTAATACCAGCGGAAAGGTAGGCACACTAGGGCTGCGAAATAGCTCTCCCTCTATCTCTCGACTAGGGATGAAGGGGGGAAGGGTTACGTGAGAGCTTGTACACTGGTCGGATACAGGGACTCTTACAGATGATTTTTTAGGGTTTATGATACCTGCTCCCTCTTCTCCACACTGCGTGCCATTCTGTCAGCTACCAAAACACCTTGCGCAGATTATGGGCTTGTACTTACGTGCGTTTCATGTTAAATTTTGATTGCAAAAGAATATGTTAGAGTGCTTTGTAACTCAAACTCCTCTTGAACAATTTCCTCTGTTTGACCCCTCCCATACTCAATGACCTTTTCAGTGAACGTGTCAGCCTTTGATTGATAGCTCGGATGATTCTCGATCTCGGTGCTGCGATCTTTTTGGACAGTGCAGCTGCATGAGCACCAACTTCGTTGCCAATAACAATATCACTCCCACTTGAAACTCTAGCCTGTGTACAGACGTCCCTACTCCCTCAGAGAAAAATCGGGAGAAGATTTTTTTCTGAGGGAGGGGGGACGTCTGTATACAGGCTATTGAAACTCCTACTCAAGTTACTTGGGAAAACCAGACTAATATTTGAGCGATGTAACAGTTATGAGGCTGGTTTTATGAAGCTCCAGTTATCCCTTTTCCACTTACCTTTTAAGTAAAATGTGTGACCGCAAAAGCCGCATCGACCTGTACAGGAACATTTTGTAAAGAGTTTCTTCACGGAAACCCGATATTGCTTGCTACACAGTACATAGACCAGCGGATTTAGAAGTGGGTTAATATGGGCCAAGAGCTCCGTGTAAAAATAAGAAGTTTCGTTGTATGAAGAAGGGCCACAGATCAGAATGAACACTCGGTAAGACTGAAAAACAGAGAGATAAAGCAAATGGAACGAATTGGACTTAATTATAGTTATTATCAGTATCAGTACAAAATTGTCACTTTTAACTTCCTCACAAAAATTTGACTAGCATTGTTGCTAAAAAAAAACAATCTTGTTTGCGAGCAATGTAATTGCTTAATACGGCCTTGTTTATTAGGTTAATTGTCGGTGAAAGTACAGGTGGCAACGACGGAAGGGGCGTGCTTGATAACTTTATTTCCCTTGACTGAAAGGAGAAGCATATTCAAAGGGAGGCCTCAAGTAAAAGGGTGCCTTACGGAAATTACGATATATGATTTTTAACACTTACCAGAAAGGGAACGTAGCAAACACAAAACAGCCCAACAATAAAGAACGTAATGCGAGCAAAACCACCATGCTGCTTGTTTACTCTGTTAACGCCCGCGCCTCGTTGTTGCTGTTCGGATAGCAAACTGCTGATTCTGCGCTTCCGGTTCAGAAAGCAGAAAATTGTTCCACAAAAGTACAGCAAAGCAACAATGACCAAACCTCCTTCGACCACAGTAGCATATAACAGAATCTTACCTCTGGATTCTTTGGGCGTAAGATCAAGCGCGCATTGGAATCCCGTCTTGTATAACTTAAACTGACCAAAACCCGAAACAGGGAGGACCAAATGAATGCAGGGCCAAAAGAGGGCTAAAACCAGGGCTTTCTGCACTCTTGCGGATGTGACTTGGTTTCTGTAGAATAGTGGTCTTGTGACGGCGAGAAAACGCAGAAAGCACATTATAAAGACGATGAAAAATGACCAGCTTAAGAATGTGGTTGAGATGAACGCAGTAACAGAACATAGAATTGTACCACCAATCCAAGCGCAATTTGCATAGGAGACAAAGGAGAGAGGTAAGGTTGAAAGAGGAATCAAAAGATCACTGATGACCAGAGTCCGAACGACGAGGTGATATTTGTTTTCTTCCAGACCTGGGAGCTTCCAAATTGCTATGGCTGCCACGAGATTAGACAAAAATGACAAGAACTGTATAGAAGCCATGGATATGAGACTTGTAAAGTTGTCACATAACGTGGACGAACCTCCAAGGCTGGTTTCGTTTTCAGTTAAATTCATGGCTGGTTTCCTGTTACGTCTCCCGACATCAACTCAAGACTCTGTCCAAACGAGAGAAAACGTGGAAGTGATTGTCAACAAGACAAATCCAAAGAAACCCGCTTGGACAATTTATGTATTCTTGATGAAAAATATGAATTTTCGGCTTTAGACCTGTACTTGGATAGGCCGCCGTTACTTGAGTCTATTCGATGCGAAGCTTTTGAAATAGACTAATGCTCAATCTATTTCCAATATTCAAAAACTCATTTCTTTATTTACTATCCTAATTGTTAATCTCAATGACAAGCCTACCCAGATTTTCTTGAATCTCTAATGAGAAATTTCTCGTAGTTTATTTGCTTAAGGGATTGAGTTTATAAGGCAGCATTTGCATTTCTACTTTGAAACAGATGGCTATATCTAAGTTGTATGATTACGAAAAACGCTATTGTTTCTTGAATGATATTTATGTGTATTTCATATCACCGATGTTTGGAAACAAAAATATAAAAGAAACCTATTCTTCGATCTTCATTTACAGCTGCTTTGTTTATGAACATATCACTTAAAATAAACATCTTCATGTAAAATGACAGCTTCGTTTTTAAATTGGAGTTTAGCCGGCCGACTATCCATTTCTTTCACTTGTATGTAAATACAGCTGTGCTAAGCTTTAGTTTACCAAAGAAAAAGAAAGAAAATGGAACCGAAACAGGAAAAAATGGGCGATGTGTTCAAATATCTACTTAGTAATACTTTGCAGACAAAGGAAGAAAAAAAAAGGGTGTTAAAAGGGGTGGTGTATTGATCACGTTTCATCGAAAATAACTTTGGGCATTTCACATTTCACGGACAATAAATTCGGCATTTCATGTTTTAAAACGTTTTTATACGATAAGTTTTTCTCACTTCGGTTAAGAACTACAGCCAAAGAACTGCCTTGTTTGATGTCCTCTCCATTCTCCCGTTTCTTGTTCTTGGTGCTGTGAAAAGGAAACCGAGTTCTTTGTTTAGAAGTTGAGGCTCGGCACTAGCTTCTTCTAATACAGAATCCTTGTCATCAGAGGAGTCGTCATCGTATTCAGAGAGCTGGTCTGCTTCAATCGTGCAGTTGACGTTATAATTTCTCTCGAAAAATTAAAAACAACATGAAAGAAAATCACAGTTCACGGGGAAATAAACACCCGATTCTCGTTTCACAGATAATTATTATCAAAAATCACGGCTCACGGCGATTACCAAAATCACGTTTCACGAGGAATAGAAAGGTGATTTCACAATTCACGGGGAATAAAACAAGCAATTCACGGTTCACGAAAATACCCTTTCCCACCCTCAAAAAAGTGAAGTCTTGTTGGAAAGAAACACTTACATAGTAACGAAGAACGAAGACCAAATAAGTTCGATTATTAGGACAAAGCCTCTCCGAATCTCCGCCTGTGAATTTTCCAACCATCAGTCATAGAATTACGTCTGAACTTTCTACAAGCAAATTATGCTTTAGAGTATAATTGGTAAGGTTTCAATGGACCGTCAAAACAAAGTAACTGCTGAAAAAACATGACGATGTACTGTACGCGTTCCCCATCAGTAATACGGAGTGATCTTGAAGAGGTATGACGTCCTGACTTTGAAACTAGTCATCGGCAACGATTTAATCAAGTCAAATGGGACAAACTCAAACAAAGAAAAGAAGAGAGAGGGAGGGAAGAAAAGGAAAATTGAAGGACATATCAAATTTTTGACATTTTACTCGAAAATATCCGAAACTCCAGTTAGAAACAGCAAATGAAAAAATTTTTTTTATACAATTCTCATCTTCTCAAAATTAGTAAAACATGTACCGTTTTCTCGGTTGGATATTACGAATAAGTATTACGATACAAATGCAATGTAAACTTTTTGAGAGGAGAAGTGTGGCGTTACGTTACCATGATAGCAAAATTTCTAGATCTCAACAACCTTTCATGACAGAGACGGCCCAAGCGAAGGAAGAAAAGTTTTACTAATTAGCTATCCGTTTAGTCTTGAGTGCAAATATGCACAGGAAAGTCATACATGCTTTTTTTTGTTGCCATATTTGCAGGACCACGGTTTGTTGAGATCGAGAAATTTTGGTACCATAACATGTTTAATCTGGCATCTATCGTACCACCGAGTTCCTCGCCGTCTTGTTATGCGGGTTTAACGAACATTCCTTATCTTTTGAACTGTTTAATTAATGGCATACTGCCGTCCACTGCTTTAGAATCAGGGGATCAAAGACCAAGTCATTTGTCATTTCTGTCATTCTTTGCTGAGGACTACTATCATCATAAAAGCCCTAATTGAGGAAGTAGACCAGTCCCAAACGCGGCAATTATATGGGGCTCAGTAACGAATAAGACTTTCACTGTAGAGACGAATGAATTAATTGACTTTATTTAAACACGGTAAGGATTTCAACTTACAATCGATAAGTTGGTTTTCAAATTAGCCGCGTCAACATTGAGCTTTGCGGGAAGAATCCTCCACAATCGCATGGTCCCCTGCGCTTCGTTACCAGTCGCTCGTTTGCGCTCATCGAAATATTTTTGTAGGTCACGTGACATAAACATGGCGGTCGAGAAGGACTTTCGCTCTTCGCTTTACGAAAGAATAAGATGGTCTATCTACATCTGTCTATTTTTAGGCTATTCCTCGTATTATTTTTGTAGAAAATCATACACTTTTGCTGTTCCAGCTCTCATAAGTGAACTGAACATAAAGAAGAACGAACTCGGAGTTATAACGAGCGGTTTTGCCGCCATGTATGGTATCGGAAAGTTTAGCGGAGGTCTGTTATCTGATTCTTTAAGCCCGAGAATAATGTTTACAACAGGAATGTTATTAACTGGGATTATAAACATTGTGATAGGATTCACTGGAAATGTATGGCTACTAACTTTTCTTTGGAGTGTCAATGGTTTAGCACAAGGTTGTGGATGGCCTCCTTGTGCCAAGTTACTCAGAGAATGGTTTGCCCCATACCAGGTAAGCATTCGTCTATATCTACATGTAGTTGCTGAGGAATACCATCACCACATACGACGCAATTGTACAGTTGTTTACCCCTGCAGTTTAACAGTGTAGTTCCAAGGGTAATTTGGCATTGAGAGCTATCTAAATAAATTATTAATCTGTGAGTAGTGAGTAATACGCTTAACCAACCATTCACAATTTCTGCAAGACTGCGAGCAGTCTCATATTTTTCTTTGCAAAAGTAATCCACGTGTATAAACCCATGCATGCGAGCGGTGGGCTGTGAGTGGTGAAGCACCAGTCTTGCCCTTATTCAGTCAAGCCTGGTTCCCATATGATCATCGGAATTGTCCTGATCACCACAGTCGTTTAAAAGCATTTCGAGACGATCTGGACGACTTGGACAATAGATAGTTTTGTCTTGATCGCCTCAAGGACAAGAGACACGAGGTCATCAGCACCGTCTCTGGGTTGGACATTAGAATTTTGCGCATGTTTCGCAAACAAGCCAAACCAAGAGCTTATGGGAAAGTACCCTTGGAGATTAGTAGTAAATTAAGGGAGAATTTTTCTTTCATTTCAGTTTGCAACACTATGGAGCCTTCTTACAGCAGGTTGCAACTTAGCAACAAGCATGTCTCCAATATTGACAACATTTCTCACAACAAACTATGGCTGGTCAGCTGGTTTTACTGTTCCTGGAATCAGCTCTGCAATACTGTCTCTTTTAGTGTATTTTGTGATTTTTGACTCTCCATCAGAAGCACGACTGGATGAATTTAATCAGTCTAGCTCAGAGATGTCAAGAACCAAAAATAATTCAGAGAAGAATAAAAGAAAACTCCTCATAGCACTGATGCAGAGTCCATTTTTATGGGTACTAAGTTTTGGATATCTCATGACTCTCTTTGTGAAGACAGGCATTGGTGAATGGACGCAGCTTTTCTTGATTCAGACAATAGGAAAATCACGATATGAAAGTATGTTACAGTAAAAATAACAAAACCATGAACACCAGAAATATTCCTGGAATGTTATTGTGTTGCAAGGAAATAGCCAATCAGGCATGGGAAAACTAAACCACAAGCAATTGTTGGTAATTTATTTTTGATTTTGTGGCTAGCTTGTGTTTCCTGGTGTTTGCTGTGATTGGTCATAACACATTAAACATTCCTGAAATATTTCAGGTATCCACGGTTTTGTGAGTTTGTTAGTAAACTAGGATAAGTTAGCTTCTTCATTATACAGTACTTTTGTCTATGATAGGTTATCTTATCGTTTGTCTCTTAATAGTTTATACTTTGGTACGTCCTCGGAGACCCAGGGGTAGTCAGTCCGGTCAGGATTAATGACGGTGAAAGTTTTCAAGAATGAGTGAGGGAGCCCCTGGGATTCTACTCTTAACAAACTAGTTCCACGACTTGTTCAAATGCTTGTCTCTGATTGGTGTTGTGCCCAATTGGAGGCCAGCATCTATCATGCTGCTTTCATAATCCTCTGATACCAAGTCGTTTACCTGCAAACTAAATGAACGAACTTGGTGGAGTAATCTTGCAGAGTTGTGTGAACAAGCTTAGAAGAACTCTGGTGTTTATGAATCAACCTTTAATCAGTCCAAAGTCTGATTCCATTGAATGTATGTAAACTGCACTGAACTAAACCTTCAGATAGATGCACCTTGGGTTAATTTGATTTTCATATAACTCCAACATTTATTATGCATGCAAAACTTTCTTACTTTTTCTCACCAATACATGTAGTTAGAACACCTGTATGAACTAAGTGGAAACATGTATGCATAATAAATGTACGTGTTATACAGAAATCTGACCTTTCATTTTGTTTTGTTTTGCTAGCATGCTAAACTATGGCATATCCTCAGTTTTGTGGCCCCATTTTAACTGAAAAATCTTCTTGAAGAAAGCTCTCCTTCACAACCAGACAGGTACAGCGATCTATAGCGAACAGTCAAGTCTTTCACAGGGGAAACAAATTGGCCAATAGCTGTAATGATTGCAAAAGTCTTTGGGAATTCTACAGGGCCCAGTTTCCTCATTCTCTAAAATGGCACATAAAAGTAAATCAAAACATACAATTTATCTACTTGTGACTGGGAAAGAATTATGAACAGATCATGTGTAAAATTTACTGGTGGGGTTCAAGATGTTTTAAGTGGATGATGCCAAGTACATACATGTAGGTCTCACTCTTTTTGTGCTGTGTTAAACTGCAAGAAAATAATGTATTTAATTTCTAGTAAAAACATTTTGTTATGATTTCTTACGATACCTTCGCTCATAATAATTCTGCAGGTAGTATTGCTATGAGCTTTTTGGAGATTGGTGGACTATGTGGTAGTTTAACATCTGGATATGTCACAGACAAGTTAGTTCAAAAGGTATTGGCGACAAGATAAGTTAGGAAATAATTTCATGTGCATTTTGTCAACATTCCAATAATTCTCTAACCTTAATGGGAGAAAAATTGTAACAATGTTGAAAAAATGCCAGTGAAATAATTTAATTCCTTATTTTCATGATTACTGCTGTTATTAATATGCTTACATAACAGCAAACTTTGCAGGAGTGTAAGTTTTCACCTTTATGAAGGCAGTTAGTAAAGGTAATATGGCTCGCAGAACTCACATGGACAGATATGACATTATAAACTGTTGACAAATAATGTGAATTCTGGTTATCCCAACAACATAATTGCATACATGTGCTGAGATTCTGTTACTGTTTAAAAAAACATTCTACACCTGTCTCTAAGCTTCTCAACAGCCCTGGTTTAGTTATTACACTCTTGGTGCATTTCAAATTCATTGTTTACCTGCAAAATGAGTTATATGTTTACAAAACCCATGGTATTTCCCAGCTAGAAAAGTTTTCTTTCCGTTTATTATGAGCAAGAGATGGAGGATATTATATAATTTTATGGATGGAGCTGTGAAATTTCTCTGAGGACTGAGAGCATTTAATATTTTTATGAGTGAGCACAGCAAATAAGTGAAATATTTTTTAACATGAGAGAGAAATAATCTCCAAGCAGCCATGTAATGTTCTATTTATAATTAAATAAATTACCAATGAAATATATAATACCAAACCAATTAACTTTTTGCTGCAAAAGGCCAATGTATCATGTAGCTATAGTAACGGTCATCTTTTCTCGTGTGAAGCCAATTCACTTTTTGCTACAAAAGGCCATTGTATCATGTAGCTATAGTAATGGTAATCTTTTCACATGTCAAGACAGGTTATTTTCACATGTGAAGTTACCTTTTTTATGTGAAAGCTCACCTGGTATTTCATTGGTGGTTATATAACAATTTTTTTTTATTTTTAACTAAAACAGAAATTAGACTTTGCTAGCATGGAAATGGTAATGAAAATGGTCTAGAAACACATAATGAAAGCAAAGGGGGATAGCATGGGTTTAGTGAATTTTCCACACTCCTTCAGTACAGCTGACACTTAATGACAGAAAGTTTATCAGGTAAATATTAAACTTACTGTCTTCTCCTGTCTTCTTTGCAGTATGGAACATCAACGTCAAGTAGTCCCAGAATACCACCAATGATTTTGTTTGCACTTGTTCAGCTAGTATGTATCTATCTTTTACATACAGGTGTGACATCCACTTCATCACTGGTATGTATCTAAAGAGAAAACTGTAGTGCTTTAACATGTGTTCCAATTGTGTAGGCATTCTATCTGGTGCACAATATTATCAGATTATTAGTAGCATAATGTGCAAACTTTGAGCACTGAAACACATTTCAATATAAATATGAATGAATATTGGAGGAAGGAGAAATTATGCATCCTTATCTCACCAGACAGAAGAAGTGTGACAACTGCCCCGTGGGCCAGGGCACTCCCTTATTTTAGCTTAACAGATATGTGCCACTGAACAGGGTATGGTTTTCAGGGTTTTGCATCTTAGACATCTTATAAATAGTATATACAATTTCATTATTTAGCATCTTGAACAGGGTGTCTTTTTGGACTGGAAGCATGAAAAGACATGAAAAGAGTATGACAGTTGATGAGTAGAGTGCCAACAATTTTTTCCAGAAAACATGGTTCCATGATGTTAGTTTAAAAAATCACTTACCGTGTGTGCGAGACAAAATGAATCACGGTCATGTCACAAGGTCTCTTGTCTTATGTTTGATTTTTGTTTTAAACAGGGTAAGGATTTAAAGGCCAGCTTTCTACCCCAAACTTCTCATTATTGTCCCCCACCTGCCGATACCTTGCTTGCTTCACGGCATTCTGTAAAAGTGAAACTGGCTGTGCTAATACCTACCACTGGCATCTTGCTTGAATTATGTACTTCACTAATCTGTTTTGAATCTTTGTTCTTTTGCAGTGGTTGATTTCAGCATTAGTATTTGGAATAGGCTTCTCCCTGTATACAGCCATCAACTTGTATGGTGTTCTAGCCATAGAGAATGGTCCTCCAGGATTAACTGGAACCACACATGCCATTGTTGCTTTAGCAGCAAATGGTAAGAAAACAACGTTGATATTTTATGATTGTTATAAGATGAAAACAGTAGTTAATTCCAGTTTATTTATTTAATAATTATTAATTCTATGACGATTAGGTAATAACTGATTTTATAATAACTGAGTGATTTTTTGTACACTGACTAGATGAGAGCCATGGTCAGTATTAGACTACAGACCGTGGAAATAATTTGATGGTGGCGCAATTTGTTTTCTCTTTCTTGCATGCAGGATTTTTCAAGAAAGTTCAATAGAAATGGATGTCAATGTTATTGTGAAAAACAAATTGAGAGCCTTTTCTCACTTGGAATTTCTAATGAGCCTCCATGTGCAAGCTATGTATATTTTCTGGAACCAACCTTTTTTTTTGTTTTCACAGAAAGAAATAGCCTTTGTGTACGTTTATATCAGACAAGCAAACTTTACCACAAACCTGGCTTAACTACTCTTGCATTTGCTCTCATTTGCTCTCAGTCTTGAGAGTTATAAATCGTGGTAAATCAAATTTTCAATTTCACAAAAAAGGCAAGAAAGGTGTTGAAATTTGCTCACTGACAAACAGCATAAGGGCTATTGAAAAAAATAATAAAAAAATTTAGGGCCATTCAAGAAAATAATACACAATTATTGGATGAGGTTTTTGTAATATCTGGAAAAATCAAGGTTGAGGTAAGCGTTATTGAGACCTTGATTATTTAGGATATTACAAAAACTGAATCTAGTAATTGCTTTATTATACAATGTTTTGGCGAAAATAATGACAAACATACTGTCACAAGGAACCTGAATTGATAATATGTTTTAACAATCATGCATCGCGTACGTAACCTACAGAGTAGTCAGTTATCTGCTAGCAGATAACTATTTTTCTGTAGGTTGCACTGATTTCTAAAATTAGCTTTAGGCTCAAGTATTAGTCAATGAGAAAACAGAGAGTGAGTACAATATATAATAATAGTGTACAATCTGTTCATCAAGACTTCCTTTTCTTTACAATTTTTTAGTTGGTGCAACACTTGCTGGAATTCCCCTCACAACAATCAGCAAGTCGTATGACTGGGGAGGTGTTTTTGTTGCTCTTGAACTGGCTTCTCTTTTCTGTTTCTGTTTACTGGTTGGAGCAAGGAACGTTAACACATGCATGATTCAGCCATCAAAGCTGGAATGAAGATAATCATGGTCCTGGCATCAATCTCAGAATTTCTTTTCACATTAAATGACACTTGACAGGAAAAAAAACATTCCACCACCAACAACAATGGGATGTTTTCTTTGAATGAGCTGAATGAAGGTCATGACGACAACAAGATCACACTGAAAACAATTACTAGTCAACGAAAGGGCTTTAAAGTACATCTTCAAAGATAAAAGTGCATCTTATCAAGATCTCTTACAAGGAATACGACCTCCATCCATGGAAACCCCAAAGAATCCTGGACATGCTATAGACAATAAGCTATAGTATATCTGACAAAGCCCCACCTACAATTAAGGATCTTTCACTTTACACTTATCCAAGTATAATCTTTGACATGATTATATCCTTTCTTTGCCTAAAGTCCCGAAAATCATAGAGCCATTTTGCCACTAAGAAATGGAACAAGCAGGCAAATGATATTTGAACTACATGTAACATGGACATCAGTGAAGTGACAAGCAAAATTTGATTGCCTAAGTTTGAATGATATGGCATTTTTAGCAACTGCTGCCTGTTGTTTTTATCGTGTAATATAATTATTACTTAGCTTTTACAGTTTTTATCTATTGAATTATACATGTTTAGTCCTTAATTTTCAGAATATACTATGACCATGGATTACCTGTTACAATGTAACTAGCTGATTAAACTACAAGTAAACTCCACATTAAATAAAGTAACTTATCTTTATCTTATCTAAAGTATAAAGCATTTTCACATGACGTCATGGTGGCCATATTGGTGTTCCAAAACAATGAAACGGCGGCCATGTTTGTGTACCAAGACAATCCTATGGGAGTTGAATTCTTTTCTTATGCAAACGCTTTCTTTTGTTCCAGTGAATTGCACAGATGCTGGTCATGAGAGTGAACGTGCTCTAGTATTAGCTATTAAAAATATAAGAATTGCAGGTCTTATAATTATAATTATAAAGATAGACTGATAATAATAATGATGATGGAGAAGTTATGAAATATTACATTAGAATATTAAGACGTGAGCTTATATACCCAAACCCACAGAATAACATTACAGTATTTTTGATGACAAATTGAGCATGCAAATTATACAATGATAATCCACCAAATTGGTAGTCTTATTGTAATCTTTTTTACCATCACATAGCTAATTCATGACAGCTTTGACTACCCCATCCCCTTCAAGTAGGTCAAAAAAGGACCAAATTTTCTTAGCCGAAGTGTGTTCATATTGATCAGGTTCCACTAAACAACTTAAGAGGATGTAAGAACAGAAGATAACAGAATTGACCAAGGAAGCACATTTGTGACAGTTTTATTTTACTAAAAATTTCATACATAAAAAATTCAATTTAACATCTGTCTACTAAGCATTGTTTACCCTTATTCTGTAAAACTGCATGGTGACTTGAGTTATTGACCAAGACAATAAATAACAAGGTCAAAGTTATCATCTTCCTGGCGAGACATTTCCACAGGGTTTCATTCAATTATTTCAGTCTTAATATGGTGTCCATTATAGATGTTGCCACTTGTACACGGTTAATTTCTGTTCATCAATCGTGGCCAGAAAGTCACTTCCATTTGCAGCAAATGGAAGAACATCTAAAGTCTCTTTTCCTTGGTTTGGTAGTTTCTGTAGGTGACTTCCATTCCTTCCATCCCATATTAAAGTCTACAAGGAAACCAAATGTCTGTAATTTGAATTGCATTTGCTGTGTGCTTTCTAGATGTAATTTTTCAATAACTGAGTAACTTATCATTATTCCAATAGATGTTTTTACCAATACGGTGGCCATATTCAATTAATTCAATTTAAGGAGTATTATAGGATGCCCAGGGGGCATGAGCACATTTTGTTTGTATTTTTGAGTGCTTTTCAGGACATTTTTTCTTAAAGTTTTCTTAGAATAGGATTGTAATGAGAGAGAAGATCCTTGTGCATTGTTTGGATGTAATAATGATCGCCTTTTTCTAGTTTAGTATTAGAAATATGGTCTTTCACTGTATATTTCTCGGGAAAAAGGCGATCATTATCACATCCAAACACGGCACAGGGATCTTTTTTCCTATTACAATCTTATTCTAAGAGAACTTTAAGAAAAAATGTCCCAAAAAGCGCTCGAAAATACAAACGACATGTGCTCATGCCCCCTGGGCATCCTATAAATTATACTCCTTAAATCGAATTAATTCAATATGGCCGCCGTATCAGTAAAAAGGTCTATTGGTCAAGGGCTATGTTTGATAAGAGTACAGACCATAGAAATGACATGATTGTGGCACAATGTGTTTTTGTCTTTGTGGGATTGTACTAAGCCTTGTCTTGTGCAATTTTCTGAGAAACTTCAATAGAAATGGATGTTTAAAACTGTCAATGGTATTGTAAAAAACAAAATGACAACGAATTATTTTGTGTTATGTCTATATAACTTACCGATGAGGAGCTCTCGTCACCAGCAGCCACCATCAAGGTGTTATGATCATCTGGGCTGGTAAATAATCTTGATTTGCTTAGAAGTTTCTGTGTAGGGCCACCCACACACTGATTGATGAGTTGACATGTACAAAGACTGGCTTCTGTCAAGTAAATAAATTTTTAAAAAATGAGTCACTATTGGAGTGCTTGTCCATTTTTCAAAGAAGCCTCTTTCTTTTTAACAGCCTTTATTCCTGCTGAATTGCCTTCTACTTTTAGTAAAATTCAAGTTAAGAGAAACACATTTTTTTCTTTCGCATCACATGCCCTACAGGCGAAAATCCCATGTGGGTACATCAAAAAACTGAGTTTGAGAAAGAGCAGACTGGTTTGCAGTCTACATTCAAGTCTTTAGTATCCTAAGTACAGACTGCATGGATTGTCTATGAAGATATTTAGGGCCTCTTTACGTGAACCTGGTTGACAGCTGGGCTGGATCAGTTTCCAAGATATTGCCTTACCGCTAAATCCCGGGTAAATATTTGATGTGTTCATATCAGAGGGCAGGCTGACTCAGTTCCCAAGATCTCTGTTTTTCTGTCAGTGATCTTGGTAAGCAGGCTGGAAAATTTTGCCTTATGCACACTTCATCATGGTTACCAGGATGAGAGTGGGGTGAATCCTATTCAGCCATAAGAGTTGCCAAAGCTATGATAGGCTGGAAAGTTATAACTTTGTGTTTTGCCACGTTTGCTTTGTTTCTTGAATTTTGTGCCAGAACTCGTCCCCAGGATCTTTGGCTTTTTCTCAACTTGAATCCTGGGCTAAAATGTCTTATATGAACCCAAGGCAAAATTTGTCCCAGTAAGCAGGCCAGTCTGTTCTACTGGGCGCATTTGAAGGGACCCTTAATTTGCCATTTTTTGTATGACAAGGGTCATATCACGTAATCAAGTTCTTCTTTCTGTATGTTGTAATATCCTTTTGAACAAGGGCTATAAGAAATGAAAAGGCCAAGAAGTCTTACATACCCTGGTCAGTGGTCTCTGCATCTGCAGATCTTTCAGCTTCAGCCCGAGCTGTAGACACACCTATGCCATTTCCTTGTAACTGGCAAACCTAAAGAAAATGAACCACAATTCAAAAATTAATCATCTATTTATTATACAATAATATTATATTCAGATGGTTTGACTCTGTATGGTGGAATGTTGTCTTGTTTGATCAATGTTAACAGACATACCAAATGTCTCGTATGTTGAAAGTTCTTGGAAGGGCGAAGAGAGAACATACAGTGTCGAGTTGATGGTTCAAATGACAGACTTGTACAGGATCCTAGAATAAACACAAAATCACATTCAAAATTAAAATTAAATGCAGGTAAATAAATTATGTGCAAACATTTAACCCATATTATACCATAAAGTTCCAAAGGTAACAACCCTCGTTACCTTCGTATTCAGCTAAAGCCTTCTCTTGGCACTACTTTCGGAGGGTCGCCACTTATGGGTAGCTAATAAAACCTGTACTGATCCACATGGGCAGTATTCTCCTTATCAGGCGGTAAACGGTAAAATTTACCACCACAGCCATGCATTTTGGAAAGAGAAAATTGAAGACAGAGTAAAATTTATCATTGGAATCAATCATTTTCAATTGTTGGGTAAAGGTAACAACTGCTGATTTGCATAAAATAGGTTTTAAAATGAGGGAATGATGTTTCAGAGAACTTAGCTTCTAAATTTCCCAGCGAGGGCGTGGCCATGTCCTGCACTCCATTACCCCCCTGCACCTAGGAAAGTGCACCTCTGGTGCATATTTTTTTACTTACCGCCTATCAATTGTCCCTTACCTCCTGAGCTAAACTTTAGGGAGAACACTGCATCAGGGGCAGTTCGAACTTACAGTAATAGACCCACTAAAAATGTGAAAGGGATTACTTTTTGAAAAAGAGGTAATTGTCATCACAAACTTTGAGAGTTATGTATTGTCCTTTGAATAGGAATATCAATGATCATTACAATCATAAATTATATATTACAAACCTTGGATCAGTTTGCCATAGCTTGTTCAGGATATCTATCATATCCATTGGTTTTTGTAAAAAGGGAAATTAGTTATGAGGTTACTACTTTTTCAGCAGATGGTTTTTTCATGGGGGGGGATCACTACCTTCAGGATAAGCTAACACCTGTGGAATTGTGGAATGTTATTGTTTCTTTTATAGGGTCGCTACTTTTGAGGCGTTGCTACTTTCTAATTTTTACGGTATCCACCTGAACATTGAATGGGATATATGAATGTTATCATAAGCAAATAAGTTCTAGACCTGAACAATTGACATTTGCATGCTTTGAACCTTCTAGACATTAGAAAAAAGAAAGAAGAGAAGCTCTTCTTTTAAATAATGCAGGTGAGGTGTCAACAAACATCCATGGCACAAGGGAATAGAATAAGGTTTACATTCATTTTGAAACCGTAAAAAAAAAAAGAAAAAAAAGGAAATGTGACAAGTTTAGATAATACCCTGAAACAACAGCCAACATGAGATTTGGACAAAGTGCAAATTGAACTACAACATACATACTCTAAAATTATTCATTAGTAAAGATGAAATGTTACATTGATTAGGTGCTAAAACCTTCAATCTGCTTTCCAAGTACCTTCAGGCAGTGTCAGTTGATGTGGTAGGTAATCAGCTCCAGGGGTTTTTTCCCAGAATGACGCACCCTCCAACTTGCACGCAAGTATTCCTCCAGGCCTACAAGGAGATAGAGTGGACATACACAGAACCTAAAAAATTGGTTCCATAACAGCAACCAAGAACACAATACAAATTTAGGCCATTTCATGCAATCTCCAATCACACAAATCAAATTAGCTGAAAGATAGTTGCAATGTATTAATTTGATAAAATGAACGGTAAATGTTACATTAAGGGAAACCTTGGAAGAGACAGATTACAGGAGACTTAAACATTTCCCGATCTTGCTGGAAAGCGTGAAGAGGTGAAGGGAACTACAGTCGAAACTGTCCATGCTATAGCTTTGATGAATTACCTAGGTGGTCGCTTACGAGCACTTTCACTGGTCCTGAGTCCTTCCCTTTTTCCCAGATTCAGATATCCTAACCGGATTTTCCAATGTCAACCTTCCCTCGCAACCCGTAGGCACTCCCATATTTGGCCTAAGCGGGTTTGTGTCACTTAATAGGGTTTGGTTCTCAAGGTCTCGAGTCTACCAGGGTAAATAATTTCACTATTTAGCGTAAACAGGGTGTCTTTGTAGCAGAAGACTTAAAAACCCGACTCAATTGAACTCCAATCGTTCGATTGACTTCGACTGGGTTCGGTAATCGAACTCATCCAAAACTTTAGCCTGCCTTACCTTACCCCCTTCGACGCCTACTACATAAACTTTTGCCAATCGAACACAAACTAACGTTCGGAAATATAAGCTTCAACAATTGTACAAAAAACAAGTTTCATGTCGTTTTAAACAAGGCGTTGCGGTTAACAATTAAGTTAAGCGTTGTCTTCAATTTCAAACAAGAGTATACAGGCAAGATGTGTATACCACGAGTGCTCTTTTTTTCGCCGACGGTGTTAATGAAAAGTTTATTGTTTATTTTTAGCTGACTTTGGCGGCGACCGCCAGCTTGGACTTTGCAACGTGAACTGATACCTGTATGGTACGTGCGTTGGCCGTTGACTGTCAAAGTTGAAGTGCAAGTCCTATGCCCGCTACCGTCGCTAAGCAGTTCCAGCATTAACTGTGAATTTATTGATATTACTTTAACAATATTTATTCATTTAACAATATTTATTCAATTTTATTCATTTTAACAATATTGTTATTTTTAACGCATAGCTTTTTAAAAATGTTTAAACAGTGCATTGTAGTTAATTTATTTTTTAAAAAATTAATTGTTGTTGTAAAGCGCTATAGGACAGCAATGAATATGGCGCTATAAAAGTAAAGTAAATGTTAATGTTATCATCAAACCTTAGTAATGAACAAAGTGTAGAAATTTACTTTACTTTAAACAGTCATGATTACAGTGTATCTCACCATGACAGAATCTGAATTTTTACCATAACTGGGAGATTTCTTGCATGCTTATTGAGAGCTATGTTTGATAAGAGTACAGGCCATGGAAATAATGTGATGGTGGTGCAATTTGTTTTTCTAGAGCACATAATTTTCCAAGAAAGTTACACTGAAATGGACATCAAAATTGCCAATCATTTGTTATTTCAAAAAACAAATCGACAACAATTCTCCATGGTCTGTACTCTTATAGACCATAGAAATGATATAAAAATGTTCAAAACATTGCAGTGAAACCACTCGCAGTTTCACTTGGGTTTTGAACATTGAAATCATTTCTTTGGTCAACAACAAGACGGACTGTGGAAAATTGTTGTTGATTTGTTAGAATTGTATGTATTTTTCTTTGCTACAGTGTTAACAGTATTTGATAGTACAATAACATTACCTCAGATCACCATTTGGGTCAGGTGACACATGAGCAACAGAGATGACAGGACAGGAGCCTCCAGTTGCATTCTGAAGACTCTTTAGATAAGTGTCTGTATTTCTGACATCAAATATCAAACAAGTGCCATTCTGCAGGCCACAGTAGATATAATTGGTATCATAATCATTCCAGGCACAAGACCAGACTGGGGCTGGTGTGTTATAACTAAAATTGAGCAAACATTGATCATTAGTTCTTGTTATTGTAAATCAATGATTGAATGGTTAATAGAAATCATTAACCAATTTTATTTGGAGATATCCACCTGATCAAAACAAAACAAGGACAAATAACTATTACTGATATTGTTATTACTGGCCTGTATTAAGGATCTTCAAATTTTAAACTTCAATGTAAATGCAAATGATATGATAAATTGCTGCTACCAGTTACACTGTACATTCCAGTAATATAAGGACTTATGACAATGGCGACACTATGATGATGATGAACTTTATTTACATGTCAAGAGTATTCTAATGGAGCTAATTGGTGACACTAGATACAAATATATAGCTAAAATTAATAATTTACAGTAAAACTATAACAACCTAGGAACTACATACTTATCATGTCATTATATTTCAGTATGATTTTGCTGCTAATTTATTCATTATATTTAGTCTTAGCTCATAATAATTAAGTTAATTATTGTGAGTAAAAGAATTAAAAGTGTTTTTCTGGCGAGGAAGCTCAAATAGAAACCTTGAGGCTTATTATAAAAAAAAAGAAAAATACTTTTAATTCTTTTACTTACAATATTTAACATTTTTGTAATATATTGAATGTCTGTATGCATATGTATTTTTTTGTCTGGCAAAAAAAAACAAACTGAAACTGTGTTTTAGGCATTCCCATTGCCATCATAGTTTCGTACGGTGAGTGAGTGAGTGAGTGAAAACTTTATTTGCCCACGGTAATTTTATCAAATAACTTTACATAAAGCATCTGTTCTACCTAAAAGCTGTGCGTTATTTAACTTACATAAAGATATAGATATATATCTAAAAACTAAATTAAGAAAGATCGTACACAATCTTAAACCTAATGATAAAAACCTTAAGTTATGAGGCTTGTGTAGATAGCAAGTACGACCTGATCTTAGCCTTAAATTGTTTAAAAGAAGTCTCTTCCTTTAAACTGGAAGGAAGAGAATTCCAGAGCTTAGCGCCTGCAGAAGCAAAACTATTCCTAAAATAGTTTGTTCTTGCTTTTGGCACTATTAAATTCATTCCAGAAGAGCGAGGGTCATAACTGAGCCAGCTTGTATTAACGTCAAACATGTCAGACAAATAAGAGGGACAGAGCCCATGATTTACTTTAAACATCACTAATGCCATATGATGTTGTCTCATTTCACTAAGTGAGAGCCACCCAAGTTCATGCAGAATATCAGCTGAATGTTTTGAGTATGAAAATTAGCACCTGTAATAACACAAGCGGCCCTATTTTGCAACTTTTGAAGACTGTCTACCAACGTTTCGCCAATACTATCCCAAACAATACAACTATAGGTAAAATAAGGCTCAACTAATAAACCTGTATACGTTTATGAGGTGCTCCAAACCAACAAAAGGCCTAATCGTCTTAAGAATTCTAATGCCACACCCCACCTTTTGTCTGACACAGTAAATGATTTCTCCAAGTAAGAAATTGGTCGATAGTGAGACCAAGACACTTTGTACTTTTGACCTTTTGTAACGTTAAACCCTTCCCACCTAATGAAATATTTCCAGCTAATGTTACAATTCTCTGCCGAGAACCTATCACCATAAAATCTGTTTTTAGAATATTCAATGTGAGTTTATTTGAGCTGAGCCAATTAAAAATTCTGTTAAGGTCATTGCTCATTTCAGTCTGAAGGATTGATAAATCCATGGCAGAGAACGTTTCATTTGTATCATAAGAAAATGACCTTCCTATACTATGATCTAAGCAATTTGGTAAGTCATTAATATAAAATAGAAACAAGAGTGGTATTAGGTCTCTAATAGCTACACTATACAATCATGTAGTTTAATGACGATGAAAGTAAAGCACAATTTTTCTTAACTTACGTCTGTACAACAGCGTTGCTCAGCATACTTGTGACTCTGACAGTCTTGTCCATTCCAGCTGTCAGCAGTAAGCCATCACCACGGCAACTGAATGCTACATCACGCAGAGGCTTCTGGTGAATCCGCACAAACTCACAATGTTTGGAGTCCAAAGAGCTCACCTGAATTGGACAGAATTACATGTATGTTCTTGAAAATTTGCTCAGTCAGTAAAGTGCTTGACTGCAGAGCAGGGGGTTGCGCGTTTGATTCCCGGGACCAGACAAAATTGGCATGACTCAGATGACCACGTAAAATGGTGGACCCCTCTCCAGTTAAGGTTTAACTGCACAAGACACCAGCAAAGCTCTGTAATGTACATTACAAGCAAACCTTTATATGCAGATAATGCAAACCTATGAATTTGAGAGACACACAATGACAATTTGGAGGCTAATATTTAACTTTACCTTTACAATGCCAAAGCCGGGAAAAAGATTGTTGGGTGACGGTTTTGATACCACCAACATGGCATGATGTCTGTCAAATGTAAGCACTCTTAAACCATTCTGTAAAGGGAAATTATTTAAGAGTAAATCACTTCACTCATGACTGTTAAAAAATTAATAATAATAATAATACATGGGGTCTATCCCTTAAAAACCCCCGTAAACGTTCTCACGGCCATAACTTTGCTCTTTCTTTGCAAATGTTGCTTGTATGTGGAACTCTCCATTCTGATGTGGAGCTGAAGCAATTGCCAATTATGTAGACTTGCAGGGCTATACGACCTATATTACAGTGAAACCTGTATTAAGCAGACATCATATTAAGTGGACACCCTCTATTAAACGGACAGTACCAGAAGTCCCCAAATTTATTTCCCTTATTTACTTTAAATGAAACCTTTATTAAGCAGCCACCTCTATTAAGCGGACATGGACACCTAAAAAGAACCTGAAATGGTCATTTCTATTGTTGCCAACCTGTATCAAACGGACTATTGTATTATTAAACTCCAACACCCAATATGCTAGACACCGGAAATGAAAAATATTGCCACCCACAAATATTTTTCGATTTTTACAGTAAAAAAACGTGACTTGACTAACTTATTTGATAAGTTTCACAGTACAGTATTGTTTTCTATTTCGTTTTGTTTGTATAGAGCTTGTTTCACTCACCTGATTTCTTCAAATTTGAGTTTGTACTATGATCAATTGGTCCACTTTAATGCAAACATAATTATATTGTCATCGTCTCTGGGAGTATTCTAAACATTTCCACTGTTCATTTGAATGGCATTTGACACCTCATATGACATTATCTATTGAAACTTGAATTAGGCGGACACTACAGTATTCCTCGAGGGTGTCCGCTTAATACAGGTTTCACTGTAGTCTTAATAATAATAATAAAACAGCATTTAATTTTTTGAGAAACAAAACAGAAATCAGCTTTAAAAATACAGAACAATTTTTGTCATCTCAAAAGAAGTCAGTCTACCAATAATTAGCTCAATCCAGAAAAAATTGAAAATCAAACTAAAAAGTATACGCCATTCACTATTCATGAATTAGGACTACATGTAGGAGACAAAGGAAGTAGAGAATCAACCTAGGTTAAGAAAATTTTGACCTGTAACACAATCTTATAAATTTGTACTGAAAAGGCAGCATACTCATTCATAGCATACAGTTAACCTAATCAAAATAAGTAAACTGTACCTGTGCAATTTGAAAGGAGGTTTGAAGGACATAAGAGTTCTGCAATAGTGAGCTCTGACTTGCAGTGCTCTGACCATATGTTCTTATACCGCCTGATGTGCCTTCAGTTTCAGAATTGCATCTACTGCAGAGCAGTGACCTGTAATTTAATACAGCAAGTGTTTTATAGACTTTGAAGTCAAAAGTAAAAGCAAAGACAATCTATTTCAATGAAATTTGTAGCTTTTAGAAGGATTTTGTTCAGAGTCACATGTAGGTGTACGTGCACTGGGGTTTGTAACCCTATACCTCTCAGTCTTTCTTGTGGTGAGGGTTGGGGTATACAATAATGTAGTTTCCCTTCAGCCAAAAAGAGGAAAATGTTAATTACAAAGGTATTTTTACAACAGCCTGTACACACACAAGTTTAACATTGTCAGCAGGGCTCAAAATTAAAAAAATCCTCAGGTTGCCTTTTGGCAACCAACTGGAGAAATATAGTCACCAGATGCATATAGTCGCCAGTTTGTATAATTTAAATGACCCATCTCATAGTATGGCACTATCCATCAGATTTGATTGATTGAAAATATCACCGACAAAAGTCCGTATAAATTTCGAGGTAAACTGGCTTTGTTTATGCAATTTGGCATATTTTTTATGATGAAAGCAAAGCAAAATAATATAAAATGTTTGTTTAACTTTACTCTTTAAAGTTAAATCTAGATCATAGAGAAATCTGGTTGCCAAAGTGCCGACTAACCCAGAATTTTTAGTTGCCAAGGAGAAAAATGTTACAGTAGTCACATTCAGACGACCGTATTAGTCACAATTTCGAGCCCTGGTCAGTAAAATACATTCACCTACATGTAGGTCATACTGAAAAAAATATGACAGTGTTATTTCTTGCCTTTGTGTCTGTAAATTTAAAACCAGTTGCTCTTGTTTCCTAAGCTGAGCTGTTATTCTTTCGCACTCTGATTTAGCCAACTGATATTGCAAGAGAGCTCGAGCTTCCCGTTCCTCTGCTTTCTGACGAGCATCTTTCTCTTTCTCCAAATCTGCAAGTGCCCTGTCGCGTTCAGTTGTATCTATAGACTTTATTGCTTTGGTGTAAATGTTTCTGATGTCTTTCTTCTTTGCTGGTGCATTACACTGTGGACATTTGTCATTTCCTCCTTTTGCCTTTAACCATCTTTCAATACAACTGTTGAAAAGATATGAGGAAATTAACATTTTAATACCAACTGGCGGCTTCACAGTCTCCTCAGGTCAAACATACTCCCATACACTGCGTTCACTAATGATATAATAATATAAAATTAATAAATTATCATGTGACAATTGCATCCATTAGTGATTGCTCTACAAACAGCACTGCACGTTTGGGAGGCCACTGGGTCAAAACAATATTATAATAAATCAACTTTGTTACAATACAAGTTAGAGGGGGGCCTATAATAATTCTTATCAGGAGGGTGCTCATCATCAGATATAACTAGGGGGCTTGTACGCAGTAGGTTCAGGTATATTTTCCATGGTTGAGCTAAGTGTTGAGTGTTCCTTTCAGCCATCTGTTTTCAGCAACCAGCCTAACTTGACCAAAGGTAAACAAACTACAACTGGACTATTTCGATAGACAGGTTCCATGTTTTCATTATCCAGTTTGTGTGTATTTTCCAGCAGGGTTGTTTCACACAGAGTCATAAGAAAGAACATTTTTGCCAACTGATCTCATCTTGCAAATCGACCCCAATAGTCCTGATATCCCGCAGCATAAAACTATGTTGATCCCTGGATTCAGCTCAAACCTAGAATCCATAGGTCAACTACCCAAGTACATAAAAATTGCTTGATAGAAACTGAATAACTACTGACTGGAGCATTTTACTCCCAGGGGGAGGGGAGTACTTCCTTTTATAAGCCAAATAGGTATGTGCTGCTCTAAAGGGTAGGGGGTTTTGTGCCATTTTGGTCTGAAAACGAGAATAGATTTTGCCCATTTTGGTCTGTAATCAGGTATGGTTTACAAAGGAACTATGGTTGTGTATCAATACGTTCGTCTTTTAAATTCCAAATATATAAGAAAGAAAGAGTGATATAGGAATTCGCAATGAATTCCTTTTTTTTTTACAGTTTTAATCTCAGCAATGATGACATAATTTCTCTTCCACGTATACATGCAAGTTGCGTTTTGTGCCCACCTCTAAGTCTGCAAACAGGTATGCATTTTAGAGGCTACCTTCTTATAGGAAAATAACGCTCCATGAAATTAACGCAAATCGTTAAAATTCGCGTTAATTTAAGTCGCATTAATTTTGTTGAGCATTAATTTCCGTGACATTAATTAAGTGCAGCGTTAATTTCCGCGCTCTTAATTTCCAGTATTTTAACCCGGGATATTAACCCCAATTTTGGAACCTATCCAGACATTCTTAACACCTAAAAAACATTAACTACAAGATTTCTTTCTTTCCACTTACCCTTTATTTTTCATCTTTCACAAAAGCTAAGGCGCAGGTTTACAATTATTTCGAGTTCATCTTCATCGTTGTCGCTGTCAGAAGTGATGTTAGCTCAGTTTTGTCCAGTTTTGAATTTTTTTGCATCCAGTGTTGAAATGAATTTGTTCCAGTTGTCACCACCAACTGTGTCTTAATCGTGTTAATTTCCTTTATTATGAAATTCTACCTCCTCTTTCGCATTAATTTTCTTTATTCGAAAGTCGTTTTTTATTAAATCCGCGTTAATTTAAGTCGCGTTAATTTCCAATTATACCTTAATTTCATGGAGCGTTAATTTCCGATAATAAGGTATGTCTGCAAAATGGGTGTGGAAAATGACCTTTTTTGGTCTTAAATAGGGTCAGGATTTGGAGGACCAGGCAGCACACCCCCACCAAGAACCAAGAATTCCCAGGAGTACCCCCTCCCCCAGGATTTTACTCCATCATCTACTGACTGGAAAATTTACTCCTATCAGTTCTTTGTGTTATCATCATTTCTGTCTTTCTCAGTAGTTAACATATGAGAAAATGGCAAAAACAAAATGTGCGAAATGTGTTTCCTAACTACAATTTTTGTAACTTTAAAGTCAAGCAAATAGTTTAGATTTAGGTGGAGTGAATTACCCTTTTACCACCCGGTAAGCAAGCTCTTGTGATGGAGTGTTGCACCATTTTCTTGTCTTGGTTTCACATTGGCTCTCATGGGAGAGAGTGTTGAGCCAGCAGTGAGATTAAAGGTATTGTGGCCAGAACACAATTCCATATGATTAGTCTATAACATTGTTTTCGTGCTTGCTAATCCATTCACAATTCAACACTGGAGGGAGCGACCTCAGCCTGCTTACTATACTAATATATCATTATTCCTCCAACCAGGGCTATTTTTTCTTGAGGTTAAATTGCCTGATATTTTGCATGTGACCTTTATAGACTGATTTTTACCCTCATGCTCAACAATCTTAAATGTATTTACCTTCTTCCAAACAAATGTCCACAGCTAAGTGAGGAGAGTCTGTGTGAACCTGAGTTTGACCAGGGTTCAAAACAAATTGGACAACACTGCGACTAATAAAAGGAACAGCATGATTAGTATTTCCTTAAAGATGAATAGGTGCATGCATTGAGCTTCTCCTGCTTTTTCATAAGCAAACATAAGACTGTTTAGAGGGAGAAACTACAACTCTATCAGAAGTCACGGACTCTGGGCTTCTGCAATCCATCATTTAGGCTCGGACAGGAAGAGATAAATGTACTTAAATTCTCTGAGTGTTTGGCAACAACAAATGGCTCCTATTAAACTTACATCGTCGTCTTTCTCGGGTGATTTTAGGGGTGACTTTATAGCCTTTGAAGACTTTATCTTAGAAGATTTCGAAGCCTTGTTTTGAAATTCATCAGGAGAATTCACCGGTAAACTCTCCAAGACTTGAAGAGTTCTTCCAACTACAGGAGTCGCATTTTGCTGTAGCACCTGCACGTGAACGTCATCTGGTGTAGTATTTTCATCTCTCACTGGCTGTGTGCTTGTGTTTTCAGCCTGATTCAGAGTTTGTTGTTCGTTGTTCGTCTCTATTTCCATGTCTTGCACTTCATCACTGGTGCCCCTTGTCAAATCTACAACATTACGGACACCTTCGCTCCGATGATCTCTGTTTTCCTGAATTTCTTCACTTCCATTTTGTATAAGGGTTGCCATCAGGTTTTTTCTATCGATACTGAGTTGCTAAATTATTATATAATTCCGATTAAATGTTCGAATATTCAAAACCTCCTCTGAGTTTCACAGTACGCGCCATTTTACGTGATCATACATTGAGCATGCTCAGTTATGAGTAGATCCAGTCACTCTTACCAGTCACTCTCGGTCGGACCGCTTCCATTCTGGACTGTTAAAGGACCAAAGAGAGGTAAAGCACGCGACCGCTGTGAAAAAGGAAAAAAAATCTTTGCTTAGGGATTTATTCAAGGTTAGGAGACGTTTCATTTAGAGCTCTCAAAAGGGATACAGCGTTCTGAAACGGCAAATTAAAAGAGAATACCTTTTCTGCCAACATAATGGTAATACAATAATAATGGTATGTGACCCTACCTCATTCTCGTCCCCAGAACCCGTCGTTTCTTGGTTACAAATTAAGCCGAGTGGCTCTGGGGACGAGAATGACCCTACCTCAGCTTAGGGCGGAGCCTATGTTGACCCCTGAATTCAACTCAAACCTAGAACCACTGTGGGTTAGATGAAGTCGGTACGTCCATAATGATTGTTTGATAAAAACTGAATAAAGCACACTGAAATAAAGTGTCTCTTGATTTCACAGTTTCTAAGCGTTTACACTCGGGGACAGTTGAGACGTTGTATGAGAAGTAAAACTGAGGTCTGTAAACGCAAAATATCATTATATTTTACCAAATTTTCTATAAAATAAATAAAGGAGACATACCTTTGATGTCTTCTTGTGTTTTTTGGTGTGAATTTATCGATTAGGCGACTTTTTTGGCTTTATTGTGTGACCGAGGGGGTGGGCGCGGGGAATGCAAATGCCCGACCAAACGCAAAATTTGCTAATGCCCCACGCCAGGCCAGGGACTGACAAGGTACGCAAATGCCCCGCAGTGGCCCGGGGGGCAGGGGGGGACCTGGGCGCAGTTGGATTCAACTGAAGCATTATGCTCGGATTCAACCCAAGAAAATTTCGCCAACTAAATAACTGGAATTGAATAGGATCGATGAAGTTTGAAAAGAAGTGAATTCATTTCGTAGCGACTTTTTGTTGTTTTTTTTCGTCCAAAGTTTTTGCTACCATGGCAACGTGACGTAATGGTTTCGCCTCTCTAGCCACACTTAAATTCTGGGACATTTTTCAAACATATGAAAGCCAACAAATCGCTCAAGTTTAAATTCTAATGCGAGAGGAGGTAATCTGTTTAAAATCTACAGCCTTCAACTCAGTCGAATAAAACCCTTTTTATTTCTATAAGTATTCTAATTCATATTAAGACAATAAATGAAAATAAATAACTCTAATTTCCCAGTACTTCTCCACCCTAAGCAACAGAAATGTCCGCATATCAAATGGTGAACTCGTCACAAACCCTTTAAAACAAGAGCAAAACCTGACTTCCTGGGCTTTATACTCCAGAAATCTGCATTAAGCATTCAAAATTTTCAAGCCTCTTGGCTATCATTGGACACGTGAGGGGGAGGAAGACTCCACTGGGTACTTATGGTGGGGATGTGCCACCCAACCCTGTTGTGGTTTTTGATCAATATTTGGAACGCACGAAAGGTCAATATATCCGCAAATGTTATCTAGAACAAGATTTATTATTTTGAGCGCAAAATCGCTCTGAAACGGGGTCCAAATTTGAAGGATAGGACAGCACAAACCCACCCAAAATCTACCGGAATACTCCGTGAAAACGACTACCACTTTGCTACTTCCAATCTTGTAATCTAATTGCCCTAACCAGTGTTTTATTAACACTAGCCTCATACCCAAGCCAGTTCGCGCTATCCGAGTTACCAGAGGAGGCTGGGAACCGAGTGCGATAAGCGAATTTTCCGGACGAGCTTGACAGGTGACGTCGAATCCGAAATCGCCGAGGACGACGAATAATAAAATACCGCCCTTCAGTTTTTTTGATACCTTTGCAAAATCTCCCCCCACCCAACCATTCAAGGAGCTTGCAAAATGACCTGACAATTAACCAAGCTTTCAACTTTGCAATAGTTCTCTAGACAATGGATCACTATGAACACTCTAGGTTATATAAATAGTTATCTCTTGAAAAAATTGTACGCTAATTTAAAAGCTACTATAGCTCTACTAACCCCTGCGTCCCCAATTCGCCAGGCAAAATTTACTCTTACGCTAGCTCGCAGGCTAGAATTGAGCTACTGAAATGATTTCCTAGACAAGACTCAGCTGTTTCACGTCTGTTACACTTATAAATAATGTACACGATTAAAAACGAAATTGCAAAAGCCTGTTTAAAATGCATCGAGCAGGTACGTATCATGTAAAATTAGAATAAAAAAGATGAAAACAAACAAGAACATAAAGCTAAACGCTTCGATTAAACGACACTAAACTGTTAGCCTTTCTATTTTGGCTTGTTTAGCAGAATAAGAGAAAACTGAAGCCAGGGTTAACCGTCGAACTTCACCTGCGATGAAACCTATACCATGAGTAAATTCTATTAAAACAAAACTGAATGCTGGCACTACGGTAAAGTGCCCTGCTTTCAGTTTTTTGTTTTGTTTTACATTTTACTGAAGTCTGGCTACAGCATCTCTTTAATTAGAGATCCGGGGAGAGGAACCAGTCACTTGAGGAGGGGGGCATTGGGATTTTCGGTTTTGCGGTTTTGCTTATTTTTTAGATCGGTTTTTCGGTTTTTGTTGCAAAAGACTTCGGTTTTTCGGTTTTGGTGGTCATTGCGGTTTGCGGATTTTTCGTTTTTTAGCATCTGGTTTTCGGTTTTCGTGAAAAATACTAGCGGTTTTTCGGTTTTGGTACCCGATGTGGTTTTTGGTTTTTCCTATTTTGTCCTATTTTGGGTTCCGGTTTCTGTTGAAGAAGAAGAAGAAGTTGAAGTCAGTTCAGATGACAACAATTCTCAGGGCCAGCAAGATGAATTAGGGGCAACGACGAATTTTCTCTTTGGTGCAAGGTCGCGATATGGAAGGGCAGTGAGGTTCAATAATCGACTGCTGTTTTGAGTATCTGTTTATTACCACATTAAACCTTAGAGCAAGTTCCTGCTGCCATGTAAAACTGAAAAGGAACTAATTGTACCGGTTAGCTTCCTCAGTGTCGACTCAGCTCAGTGCAATCGCATGTTAGACAATCGAGTCTCCAAACTTTCAGGTGTTAATTATCAAATGGAAATGTTCGATTAGAGATTTTCGATTGAAGTTTTCCAGAGCTATAGCTTTTTGCGACTGCAAAAATGCAATTCTAAAGAGGACTTGTGTGCAAATTCTGCTAAGTTAACTAGGCTCCATAACTAGCGGCTTTTCGGAAATTGAGCCGCAAAGTCTGGGCTCGAGAGAGCGGCAGAAACAAAGCCTATGATTTAAGCAGACACAAAAAGATACGAAGGCTTCAAACAAAGTCCATGACATTCACAAATACTTTGGTGAAATTAGTGTTAGTTTAGTTTGCTCTGTATGCCCCACTTGTCACCATTGTATCAGTTTTTGACGGTTTTGTATGCGGTTTTCGGTTTTGGCCGAATTTGTTTTGCGGCTTTGGATGATTTTCTCTTCGGTTTTGCGGTTTCTAATATACCCCAATGCCCCCCTCCTTGACCTATATTTACGCGTTACGTGGACCTCTGCATTCAACCAGTTTTTCTAAAATTCTTTTGCTTTCGCACATTAGGTTCGTCCCACGTGAAGTTCGATATTTGACCCCAGCCTGAGGCTATGTTCACAGGATACTGCCGACACGAAAAGCTAATCCAGTATAGTATGAACAGCAAGGGCACACAACTGGAACGAGGCGTTCGCTTTGCCTAGTCCCTGTTGTGGGCCTCATTATTTTGCGTTTCGGGTCATGTGGTCCAAGCGAATAAGTGAGGGTGTTTCCAGCCCATTCGCCTCGGATACGTCACCGAGGTGAATTCACTCAGAGGGCCTGGGAAAACACCATAGAGTGACTAGGCAATCGTTCACACACATCAAACATCGCGCCTGAGCGGTTGTCCGTGCCGTGAGGGTTTAGTGAACTAAATCCCCGTCCTAACTCCTGAATATTTACTTCGGTGTCAGTGGATTCCAGTCGTCGCTCCTACTTATTGTAAATGTGTAAATATCATATTATCCACTCCCCTCAGGGCTTTTCAGGGATAATTTACAACACTGGTTGGGGGACTTTGCCAGACTGCTTAAGGTGCAGTTTACAAGTAATGAAGGAATGAGTAATGATGCCCCCATACATGAGTGTGAAAGTGAGATAGACCAGTACACCGGCCACTACGTGCCCTATTCTTTACGAAGAGTGTGTGGGTTCTTTAACGTCCCACAGATTTGTTATCACATGTGCAAGGCCTTGTGAGACGGGGCCTACGGTTTATTGTCCTTATTCGAGAAGACTAGAAAGTCAAACCTTTTGCAAATGTTATTAAAAAGGCTGCACTTTCTCCTCAGTTATTTAAAGACCCTGAGTGCTGGTCCGGCCGGGATTTGACCCTACGGCCTCCCGCTCAGCAGACCGGCGCTTAGCCCATTGAGCTAATCGGGTGGCGGCTACGGTCCGAATACCTGTTCACACTGCACCAAAATGTGTCACTGAAACTATCCGGCGGCGCAGCTTCGCTCCGTTGCAGAAAACGCACTGAAATCACCGTTGTTATGTGTGAACAGAAGCCCTATCCGGTATGGTTTTCGTGCCGGCGCAAACTCTGTCCGGTATAGTGTGATCATAGCGTGAATTATGAACGTTGACTTGCAATTAAAGATTATGGTCTTGCGGTTACTGAAAAGGTCGTTTTCATTGTTCGTATGGGACTCGGTCGGACTCGATCTGTTTCTTTTTGTCACCATCAAAGGGCCGCGAGACAGTTTGCCCTTCCTTAAAATTTTTAACCGTTATGAATAAATTACCTAAATTGTAACAAAAAGGCAACTTTAGTGACATTAAACTAAACCGTAGTCTCTCTGTTCGGGTCCAAAGAGTGAATCCACACGTCTTCTGAATCCCTTAAATAGTCACTAAAATATCCCAAAAGGCAGTCTTGTTGATTTACGAGTTTAGGCATAGAAAAGTATTTTTCTAGCACATATTCTACAGTTGATGTATTCGGTTTTTCTTTGACAATGTCCAATTCAACAGAATCTTTTACCAACGAAACGGTAAGATCTTTCTTTTCATAACTCTCCACCCCCTTGCCAGACTCCGAAACTTTCCTATCACTAGCTTCCGACTCAGAAGAGAACGACCCGGAATCCAAAGTCCATGATTTTGTGGCCTGACTTGAGGTAGAGGATGGGATACGCACCCGATAACCTTTTCTACGCTTGTGCCACTCTTGAGCAATTTCAGGAGGAAGTAGAAAAGGAATCAGAAACAAAAGACATACTCCAAGTGTAGTGAAGGCGCCGGACATGTAAAACGCAGGAAAGTACGACTGGAGAATAGGATACATCCATCCTAAAATAAGTATAACAAACAAATAAACAATAAATGAAAAAAATAGACAGGGAAAAAAGTTGGGCGCGGCCGGTTTTTTTCTAATCACAAAGCACATGTTCGGAAATTTAAAACTCACTCTCATCACAAGCTTAGGGTCTCTATTCGTCCCTTCCCCCAGGACTATATTAAATTTTTCTGAGTCGTATCCTTTTTTTACACATCATCAACAAAACCCAGTAAAACTGTAATGAAATGTAAACGTAAAGCAGAAGACATACCAGAGAATACATGCATGTCATATTAATTAATTTTCCTATAAGAAACCGAAGAAAAGATTTAAACAAAAATAAATATCATTCAAGGATGGCATGTGTATTCATTTCTATCGTTTGTTTCGCCACTTAGTTGTTAATCGCGCGTTTCCAGGTCATTATTAGTGTCAACTTACTGAGTGGTGCTATTAGTACCATCGTGGTTGCTAGGGATTTGTGTATCACGAACCTCACTCATGGTTGGTGGCAGCCTAGTCCCTAAGCGTTCCCTGCCGGGTCAATCCTGGACTCTACCGTGAGCTGTGGCGTCACCGAGAGAGACTCGCTGCTCGCTCTTTCCCAGACTTCGCGCGGACAACGAGGCAAGAGAGAAAGCCTGGGCACTAGGCTGGGTTAGTGGGTTTCTATCTGAAGCATTAGGTTAGGCTGATTTAGCAACAGGACGGGAACGTCAGTTCGTCAGATGACGACGGGAAAGCGCGCGGAAAGGACTAAGCACGACTTCCGGTGTTCAATTTGCCGCTCTGCCTTTGGTCAAGCCAGTTGTTTGATTTGCACGCGCCGTCGTCAACTGACGTTCCAGTTCTGTTGCTAATCAGCCTATTATTGGCGTTAATAGAGGACGACAGCACCCCCTGATAAAGACCTGCAGAACGCAGTCCAAACGTAGTGTGATCAACAACTAAGTGACTATTGTCAGACAAACGATAAACAAGCGCTATATTTTAGTGTCAATGTATTTAGCACGCCTCCAACTGGAGACAGGGCCACCATTCAATTTGTCATCCGAGCCACCCGAAGGTCTAGCCGCTTGCAGTGCAAAGGGAGTGCCTTTATTTTTCCGTTATTTTAAATTTCTCTCTCTTTTGTTTAAAAGTAATTTCTTGGATAATTTTCTTTTTACTTTTTAAAGCACTGAATCATCGAATTGCAGACAAAAATAATTTAAACTGAATTTAGTTTTTAAGCTTTCATATCTGATAGCAATAACCCTTGATTATCGTAACCCTGCTTTGAACAACCAGGCCTTGAGTATCGAACCCGCGACCTCAACTCCCGCTTAGCAGTCAAGCGTTCTATCGACCGTGGTAAAAAAAACTCATTTTTTAAAAAATAACTAAGTAAAAGAATGCCTCATGCCATTTCCCATGGTTCCTCTTGAGAGAAGAGTCTCAATCTGACTATGATTGGATCACCCCTGGCTGAAATAAGTTTAGTTGTCAGCTGCACCCACAATGCAACACTTACCAGCTATTGGTGCTCCTACCATCATTGGAACGCCAGTAATACAATACATGATCCCAAACGCTGAAGCCATCTTTCTCCTTCCGACGACATCTCCTATTAATATGGCTATAAGGACGACAAACCCGCCATCGTGGATGCCAAATACTATACAATAGGCTAACAGGGATTTATAGGAGGTCAAAATAGGAAGAAGAGTAGTAAGAACGCTACAGACCAACATGCACATCTGATACAGATAAATTCGGTTCACACGTGGGTGATCAGCAATTCGCCCATAGACAATCTTTCCAATTGTTTCTGACATTGCAATGATGCCGACTAGAACAGCGCCGTCCTCTTTGTGGATGCCAAGGTCTTGTCCGTGTCTTACCTGTATGAGACAAAAGGGGTGAACGAGGAAAATGTGAGCAAGTAATGCTAGAGCAAGTTGTTCAAAAACTTGCGAGACTTCTAGTGAAACCACCTCCTTAAAATAACAAAGTGAAAGCTAACAGAACACTTGTTCTTTTGGACTATCGTAAACTGCGGCTTATAAGCACTGGGCTTATACAGCTTCGCAAGGAGTTTTAAGAGGACTTCTAAATAGAGGGGCTTATATCAGGGGCGGATCTAGGGGGAGGGTGCAGGGGGTGCGCACCCCCCCCTGAGATGACCTGCGGTTTTCTAATACAACTGGTATTCCGCAAAAAAAAAACTATGTGGCTTATTGGTATTGAAGTAGAGCAAGAGACGAGTGCACCCCCTCCTAAAAAAAATCCTGGATCCGCCCCTGTATATTCGTGGGGGCTTATATCCGAAATAGAAAGAGCGCCTTGAAACAAGCTCTAGCAATGATCAGAATGATGACCACGACTAAGATTCAAAACTTCATAATATACACTGATATAGTAATAAACTTAATAAAATATTACAATAACTTAATTGTTAAAAAATAAATAAATAAATAAATAATAAATAAAAAAATGATAAATGAATGAATAATAATAACAAAAAACAAACATGAAATTACAACAAAAAAAGTCTTTTCAATACAAGGTCCTCAAGCTAGAGGGAAGCTTATATTCACGAAGCCTGCACAAGGCTTTCAGATAGTACAGTTCGGACGTATTAAAACGAGCAAAGCGAAAATAAGACGCACGCGACTTGGGAAAGGGGGCGGTGGTGGTGAGAAAAACGGGAACGCCGCCCTGTCTCCCCCTAGCCCCCGCGCGTTTTTCGCATTTCTTTTTACTGAACGACTTTTCACCACTATCCCGGAACCTGGAACAGGCTAATATCCACGGGAAGCTTATAATCGAATGTATTTTATTGTCTGCGGGTTGATGGGCCTATAGCTTGGGGGCAGGGGGCTATAGACGGCAATTTACGTTACTTTGCTCTCTGTTACTAAAAAGGAATTCTGCAGAAAAAATATACATCTGATCAAACTTTCAAAAACTAAGGCTATGTAGTTAATAAAATAATAACGACAATAATAAAATTAGTAGGCGTTTGCCGTTTCAGAAAAATGCTAGGCATGCAATCTATTTCTAGGAAATGTCTCATATGTTCGCGTGCCTTTCTCTTGCGCGTCATCCCTGCTATCTGAGAGCCTGGAACAGGCTACCTTTGCCCCACTTTGGTCATCTTAGAGCAGCCAGCCGCTTAGCTTCAGTATTTCTCTGATGGACTACTTCGTGAATCAAGCCGCCGCATACATATCCACTAGCCTCCCAAGCAGACATTCTAGGGGCTTCGTCATGATTTCCTACCGTGTATAAAGCCCTAGAAACGTTTTGCGTGAGGGGCTAACTAACAGCTACTAAAAACCGCTGACTAGAGAATAAACTTACCAAATGAACGTATGGTATATAAAATCCAAATAACACCAATCCATTAACAGCAATCAACAGAACATAAGCCTTGTTCTTAAATAACGAGAAGTCAAAACATTTCTTTTCTTCTTGGTAATCCTCAGCATCGACAAATTCCAGCGGCGAAGGCACCAAATAATAAATAAATGCACAGCACAGTAGTACAAGTGACGCTCCACTGAGAATACGAACTGAATCGCGCCAGGTGTAATTGTCCAGAAGAAGGCTCAGCGCGGGAGCAAGTGATATGGTTCCCACGCCCGCTCCAGCCAGGGCGATTCCATTAGCAACAACTAAATTTTTGTTAAAGTATTCGCTGAGCACCAAAATTGAAGCTATGTAGCACATGCTAGATCCCAGGCCGAATATCAACGAATATGTGACATACATGAGGAAAATCGTATCGACGAAAGAGGAGACAAAAATGCCAATTCCGATCATTATTCCACCCACTGCCATGACGACTTCGCAACCAAGTCTTTTGCACAGCAAGCTACTCAGAGGTGCCAGGAGAAAAGTGAAGCCGAATGCAATGGAAGCAACCCATGCTGTTGAAAAAATGCAATTGCAAATCTGGATATGTCAAGGGATAATAATGAGGACACCAAGCTAATGGGGTCTCAGGACCCGGTTTAATGGAGAAAACCTGTCCCGGGTAAAAAGGTCACTCAGGTTTCCAAGCTACCCTAACCTGCATAACAGGCGCTTTATGAGCAATGTAGGCTAAGCCACTCTGGGTGACAAAATTTTCCTTCATTTCCTTACAAAAGTTGGCGAGCCGTTTTCATGAGATACACAAAGTTAACTAGGCTAAAAGTTCACTCTTTTTAGTTCGATAGTCGGATCACCCTAATAATTTTGGTCCACCTGGTCGGGTCACCTCGGTCTAAGGCAAGACAACCACAGCGCGCGAAAACGCTGTTGCCTCGGGTAAAGGGGTCAATCCTTTTTCTCATATACACCGCTCACAGAAGTTGACTCGGCTGAGAGGGTGACCCTGTTTTCCGGGACAACTTTTCCCCATATAAACGGGACTTCGGGTAAACCATAACCGTAAGCCTGACGCCAAAAAAGTTTACTTAGTTGTCAGAATAGTTAAAAAATAATCATTTAAAATAATAAAAATAATCAAGTGTCACAGTCGCTTTTTTGACACTCTCCTATCTCGTTGATAATAGCTCAAATTATCAGTGAAATTATATCTTTACTTTGTTCCGGAATAATTTTAACCGGACGGCTAAACCCGGCTCAAGGAGTTACAATACGCTAATGTTGGGTTTCGACTGCATTTGTCAGGGCTTTGTTGTTGTAAACCTTACAATCAGGCAAACATAAATTCAACATAACATGGCTTAAGTAAAAACAATTTAAAATGTAAATTGTACATTGGACCGGTTGGCTACAAACAGGTGTGGCCGAGGGGTGGAGGAAATTTACGGTGAGTGTGAGAGCGAACCACTAGGCTTTACGTCCAAACTAAAATTTTTCCGTTTGGAGTGCTAGTCCTACGTACGAGGTAACAATTTCCAGTCTTCGCTATTCGATAATGCAGATGCATCACATAGATATAAGATACTGACCCATTAGTTTTCGTTCAGGGCCACGAATAAAGGCAGAAACAAAAATTTGAAAATAAACATAACAAGGTTAAAAATGCCAACAAGCCAGAAGCAAACCAGTTGGCTATTTTCAAGCGTGACCGAGGAGTTTCACTCGAGAAAACCGAGAATAAATCCAGCCAGCGGCTATGGCGGGCAGTGAACTAGGGGGCCCCACCACGCTGCAACTCATTCTCACCTGTGGTGGCCTTGCTTTGTCCAAACTCGTTTAACAGATCAATGTACAAAAGGCCGAAAACGAAGTGTATTCCCAGAACGGCAAACTGTGACATGAATGATCCAAAAACAACCAACCAACTTAGACCACCGTCGAGGGTCCCTTGCATTCGAAATCTCCGCTCTGCCACCATGTTGCCCTCTGTCTCTTTACCTGGTCATGTAAAAGAGACATCAATAAGGATCGGAAGCAAAGAATCACAAAAGAAAGCATGGCCATTTTCAACTAGAGACGTTAAAGTCATCTAGACGTATAATAATAATAATAATAATAATCATCATCATCATCATCATCTTATATAGCGCTGTTTCTCTACTGAACCAACAGCGCTTTACAACAGTGAATGATAAAGAAAACTAAGTACCATAAAAAAGCTTGAAAAAACGTAATAATTAATGATTCTTGCAATTCAAAGAAATCTCTAAAAAGGTACGTCTTAAAAGTGGATTTAAAAGATTCCGCTGCCTTGCAACGTTTTATACTTTATGGGAGGGTATTCCATGGTCGGTTTTGGGGCAATAAAGGAGAAAGCTCGCTCCCCATATGTTTTAAGATAGCTGCGGGGCTGTACCCGTAGTTCTTTATCAGACGAACGTGACGATTCGACAGGTGTAAAATCGGGACGCATAAAACTAGACGATAACATTGAAAAAGGGTTTTTGGAAAAAAAAATACACTGACAACACCGTGACTGACTCTTCCCAGTCTTCTCTGGACTAGTTGGGCATGAACGCGTCCCAATTTACGGCGTCCCGTTTTTATACTAGACGCATTTTACGTCTGAGACGTTAAAGTCGTTTGTTAAGTGTGTCTGAACGACTCACATAATGTCGTCACTCGTTAAATGCGTTTGTTTCATTTACCGTTTTTTATACTAGACGTTAAAGTCCTCTTTAAGACGACTACTTTAACTGAAAGCAGAAAAACTGGATGAATAGATGAGTAAGAAGTAATGTGGTTCTACAGTCTGAGTTGCAGGTAGAAATAAGGCGAAATATCATTAAGCTGTTCAGGGTGTGTGACCTTAAAATTTAAATAAAGTCGCAAAAGGCGATTAATATGAACAGTTTTAAAGGGTATTCAAATACTACTTCGATGACAAAGACACTGAAATGTGTTTTTTCGTATGCTACTCGAAACACACTTTGGAAAACAACGTGTACCATAACGGTAAAAACAATAATAACATTCATGGTGGAAAAACACCTGCGCTACTAGTCAACATAAGAACAGTTAATTTATAAATTAGCTAGCCATAAGTCGATATCATTTTAAGTCCCGTGTTGAATTACTTTTGAAAATGTATGTTAAGAGGCACACAGGTTTATCATAAATTGCATTTTGCCTAGTACGCTTATTAGTACTAAGGCATATTATTTTTAATCAAGTTATAATAATAATCTACAGGTTACCGAGTTCGGCCTTTGTAAACAATCAGCTGGTGGTTTCAAAGCCACGCCTAGTTGTCAGACCTTCTTTCTGGGAACCAAACTGCAAATGAAAGAAAGAAAAACGTTACGAAGGACGCCATAGATTTCCATCCAACAAAACCTAGAGTAGATAGCGAATTTTAAGTGATGTTAACCAAGTCGTCCCAACAGCAAGTTGACTTTCAATTACTTGATTAGGGGTAAAAAACGTGTCCGCGGAAAATTAAGGCAGGCGCTTGTGGGTTTGTCAAAAGTAATTTGAATTTTATTAGTTTTAAGACTCTGTTAGAGCGGTTTCAAGCGTCCTACAATACAACCATAAAAGGTGATACTCGAGCCAATCACAAGGCTCCGAAATCAAACGAACCAATTGAATCCAAGCAAATGAAAAAGCGGGAAAAGCCGAGGTTAGTTTGTTTTTGCTCCTGCGCGCTAAGAGGCACGAATGTTTTTAATTATAAATATTAATGAGCTTAGTGTAGCAATGAAAGCCGGCTTGTGTACTTAAGACATTCAAAGTTGTCCGTTCACCTTGAAGGATACTCATTTATAAGATATATTTGGGGGAACTGCTTCTAAAAAATGAACAAAAAACTTGAAGGTAATAATAATAATAATAATAATAATAATAATAATAATAGTAATAATAATAATAATAATAGTAAAAATAAAACTGACTACATTTCATGCCATCAAGGATTTTAACTCCGCCCTTAGCCAGGCAATCAGACAATCCGTGAATGTAAATATTTTTAAGCGTAATCGTTTTAAATTTGTAATTTAAATGGATTGGAGTTAACATAATTTTAGTAGTTTTTACATGTTTTAGCTTTTTAACGTCTTTGTTATTAAATAGTGTGTGTTTATTTTATTTTATTTTATTAGATCCTTTTTGAAAACCATATTTTACATGAAAAAGTTATCCCAATAAAGACTAATAATAATAATAATAATAATAATAATAATAATAATACGGATGATGATGATAGTAATAAATTCCACAATACCCCCAGCAAATGAACAAAACAGTAAACATCGCTGGTTGCATATCACAGATCAGATGGCTATTCGTAATAAATGGCTGGTTTTATTACCTTTGAATGCTGGGGACTCAACACTAGTGGAAAGTTTTTTAAAGGGTCATTAAAGTTAATAACGTTCCTCATACCAGCCTCTTAAACCGAGTCCAACAAGGTTTGTTAACTCTGATATCGCCACCGGTATCAATCCTTGATTGACATGTTATTTCATTTATTTACCTAACAGTAATTTAGACGACACTCTTCTCCTCCTAGCTGCGAAAACATCCGTTTCTCCTCGCTCTTCGCCACAGCGGCGAGGAGCGAGGAGCAACGGATGTTTTCGCAGGCTATTTTCCTCCTAAGTCAATTAAAATTCGATTCATAGGATTGACCATAAATATTTTGGAAAAGCTAAAAGTTCATGATAAATAAAGTTAGCGGACCTTAAAGAATTCAACAAAGTAAAACTTAAGAGATAATGAGAACCAATGTTACACTCAATTAAGTGACAGCTTAATTCACGATGGGTCTGGTATGGAAATTTTTCAACAATTCATGTACCTTAGAAGCCAGCTAGAACAGTTAAGAGCTTGACAAGTGAAGCAAAGGAAAACACTGTTGTATATATTTGAAATATGAAACAATTCTCTACTACAATTACCCAGAGCCACTTTTTGTATCGGAGTGAGACTATTCAGTTTTTTTTTTTTCATCATAATCCTCTATTAGTTTTAAACACTGGCGTTAAACCAAGGACCTGTTTTGGCACAACGATAACTTAATTCTGGATTTTTTGTGCATCTTGCAACCCCCTACTTGCCGCTCGAAACTCGTCGATAGTCGGCGTTAGACTTCTGTTAAAAGCGGTTTTTTTTTTTCTGTGTGTGGTGCTTATGGTGTGGGGTCCTTTATCATCAACGCTTCAGAAAGGGAAGACTTAAAAACACATTTACACATGCGCATAAACATAAACATGGGTATCGGTTCGGATGTTTGCGGCTTTTATGAGATACAACTAGCAATAGTTCTCACTACATCTGAGGGGAAAGTGGTTCTGAAGGATGTAATGCTGACCGGTCAACGACCTGTTTCCAGAATTTCGCAATTCCAACTTATGCGCTTGCTGAACCAGAATTACCGAAGACCGCCTTGCGCGCTAGCTGAAAATTTTACTGAGACCACCATGCGCGCCTGGTTTCTTCAAATCGAGAAGATTTCGTATGAATAAAACGGAAAAAACGATACAGTCGACCCCGATAACTCGAGCCTTCAAGGGAAATCGAAAAAAGGTTCGAGTTATCGGGAGTCGACTGTACTTCTCTACGCGGGGGAATTTAAGGTGCCTCCTCGTGTGGGCGGGAACCCTGTGGGAGCAAAAACAATATTTCACTGGCCTTTAGAGAAGGAAACGCCAAAAAGCAGAACTTTAATTTACTAACCACTTTCAATTAATACTCTTCATCTAACTGCATTTTTCTGCATTTCAATCTCACTGGACCGCTTTAAACTGATAGCAGTATGTGGGAATTTTTTTGTGGTGGAGATTTTCAAATGGAAGCCGTACACAAAGTTATCGTTTGAATTTTCCTGCGGCACCTTATTACTTTACAGCTCCCGGTCACCTCAGGCCTGGGGTTCGAAAACATCCATCTGGACCTCATACAAAATGTCTCACGCCAGAGTGATCAATTTGGGCTACTTGTTCATTAATTTTAAACATATAAAGGAGAAAACATTAGTGTTTCGATGTTTCGTTTGCTTAGTAACGCCTATCCTGTGTAGCCTTCCAAAATCAAGCGGTTGTTCCGTTTTTCAAGCGCCGTCACATCACAGAGGACACAGAGGACCGGGAGCGAGGGGGTATTGTTCGGTGAAAGACATTTTTCCCGAAATAAATCAAATCGCTTATTTTGGAACCATTATTGGTGACATTTCTGTATATCGCACTTAAAACAAAAGGTTTATTACGAATGTACGTAGCCTGCAAAACAGTCTATGCAAAAAACCCTTGGGCGACGACCAAGAAATACAGAGAGTTTTGACATACGGAAAAAAATAAATAAAAATTGTAAATTGCTTTTTTACCCACGAAGCACTTAAGAGTTCATATGAACTCGTTTAAACGCGTCCGTGTGTTCCAGATCGAATTGGAATTTGGAAGTGTTGGTTTTTGAGGAGAGGGGAAACCGGAGTACCCGGAGAAAAACCTCTCGGAGCAAGGGAGCTGAGAACCAACAACAACCTCAACCCACATATGGCGTCGAAGCCGGGATTTGAACCCGGGCCACATTGGTGGGAGGCGAGCGCTCTCACCACTGTGCCACCCTTGCATCCTCCCTCGCCACCCTTGCATCCCTAGAGTGCCATGCACCAAAAACATGTTCAGTTTAAGGAGCGAACATGCACATGTCTTTTAAAAGAAAAGGCGCTTTTATCTACGCACAGCAACCGGAAGTCAGGCCTTTTCCTGTATAAAGTCCACTTCTGGTTAACATTCGTCGTTCAAAAACGTCTTTGTTTTTATTAGTTTCAACTCGAAAGGGCACCGCAACTAGCCCCACTATGGCGTCCACACCCACAAAACTTGTCTGTCCTCAGTTTCTTTTCTTTTTAACAAGGTGAAGCGGACGTCACTGGGCACGTTCTCATCACCCGCTGTGCAACAGAAAAGATTTGTTGTA